CTTGATGTCAAGAATCTGAGGGAGGGGTTAGAAACAAAATTTTTTGATATTGTCTTTCAATGTCGAATGTGAATTTTAGAAACAGGGTTATACCGATAACTGATTAAACAGTAAACAGTCGGTTTTGGGTATTTAAATTTAATTATTTATTAACGAATGGTTAGTAAAAATCGATTATGGCCATCTTCATAGTTAGCGTGGAAAATAATAGACCCCGATGAGACTCAGACATATGCAGAAAATAATGGAATGTTTGAAGGCTTACAAAATCTCTTGCCTGCTTTAGTTGTAATAGTGACTTGGGTTCAAATGAGAATAATTTCAAGAATGAGTTTTAAAAGGGGCACAATAGAAAGTCAGTTAGACTTACGCACAATAGCTTGACAACAATCAGTAATATTTAAACTTCCATGTAATTTGGTGATGTTTATAAGCTTAATAGTTGTTATTGGGTCTCTTATTCTTGTCTGCTTCTTTAATCAAATTTGATAATAGGACTAATACCACTACAACACCCGAACTATCCGGAAAATGCCACTTGTGTAATATTGTTTCCAATATTCCATCTGTGTCCTGAACAATTATTCCGTTAATGTTAGCCGGCGTTGACCGTTAGTATTTAACAGAAAATCCAATCAGCATTGACGTGGCATCAGACGTGGAATTTTCATTTATTTATCCATCTAAAATAATTAAAATAAGGGAGACAAAATTAAAAATTAGGAAAACCCCCCAAATCTTCTTAATCCCTCCGTTCGTCGAGCTCCTCTACCTTGCCGTCCTCGTCGATTGTGTTGGGCGGGCTCGCTAGCGGAGGCGGGGGGAAGCGTCGAGCTTCACCAATTCCTTTGATTTCAGCAGTTCATCGATGAATTAGAGAAGCAGCGGGAGGCACATCTCCTCTACCTCGCCGCTGCACATCTCCTCTGTCGTCGCAGCTCCTCCGCTCGGCGATTTAGCAGCAGCAGCGATTAGGTATGGGGTTTTCATCAGTTTAGGTTATGGCAAAGGAGTAGTAGAAGCTGTTAAAGTGCAAAAATATTTCCCACTCCCTTGAATTTTGAATGTGATTACTGAACTAGGAAGAGACGTTGGTGGGTTGGGTGCCGCAAAGAGGAAAGAAATTGGTAGTTGGGGGAATTGTGTTTTATGTGGGTTTCGTGAGGTGTTACGGTGTTTGTTCGGAAGATTTGGTTGCTGGAAATTTTTTGGGTGTTTGCCAATTTTATGGATGTTTATTCGTATAGATCTCAACGAGTAGCAGGAGTGGAGGACATGAAATTTCATCAACACTGCCTTCTTCTCCGCTGGCAGCGACTGCAAGACGCTAAGTGGCAGATCAGGCGTCGGTGGGTCGAACAGGGTGATCCCAGCCTCGCCTTCGTCCACCTCCAATTCCTCCACCACGCCAGAAGCCAACAACATCGACGCTATAACGAAGAAGTTGAGACCGTCAATCACCAGCGACGACCAAGTCTTGGGACTGAAGTGTGGGTGGTCCAGATGACTCGACATCATACGCTTCTCTGAGTTCGCCGGCGGAGGATGAAAGACCACCGTGGGGGCAGTGACAGAGGAGGAGAGAAAAACAAGCATTGGGTTCATTTTTTGGGGCTTTGGGCCACATTATTGTTGCTTTTTAATTTATGAAATTTTTTTAACAAGGGTATAAAATGCTATTAACCCTAATCTAAATTAAAAATGTGAGGTGTCAATGACTTGGCATTGCCACGTAAGCAAAAGTCAATGTTAAGTTGACCACCGTTTGGTCAACTGTTATCTTTAACGGTCAACGAGATTGTCAGGATACAAATGGCATAAAGTATAATAGTTCATGATACAAATGGAATATTGGAAACAATAAGATACAAGTGGCATTTTTCGGATAGTTCGGGTGTTGTAGTGGTATTAGCCCTTGATAATATAATGGTATCATTGTGTTGGATTGAGTTGATTATGGATTGATAAGTATGTTAAATTATTATTTTATTCAATGATGAAGAACACATACGTATGTAAGAAAAATCTACAAACATGCACAATAAAAAAACGAGGAGGTTATGTTGGTTAGGTTACTGATCGGTTATTTTGGTATAACTTTGCCGAATCACTTGCTTAATGGTTATCCAATTAACCAACAAAATAACCAAGAATCGACTATACAATTACGGTTAACTACGGTTAACTGACATATAAACGTTACTTACAGCTAACAATAAACAGAAAGTAATATAATTAATCGCCAACTGAACAATTTGGGCATCATCCTTTCCAGTTTCCACGGTATCTTGTTGGTACTCGTAATTTGTATATGACCATAGACAACAAATCATCATGGCGATTCCGCATTATTTATCCCGTCGCATTTAATTTTGTACTGCCACTGTTGATTCATATATTTGCATAATTTTGGAACCCACTCATGGAATTGGCTGACAGCTCTCGATCTTCTCCCTGCACTTGCTTAATTGCTTCCCCATCCAAGTGGTGCACTCTTTCATTCAATTGCCCACGAAATAGAGAGGTTGTCTAATCTATCTTTCATATTCAGACTGACCTACCGAGGTTTCTATGAAACTTCAGCGAATTTAAGGATGTGTCTCACCAATATTTACACTAATTTACAATATGATTTTGTATGGGGTGTATTAATTTTAAGCAGAGCTTTCCTCGTTTGTATTTGATTTCAGTTTATTTTTTGTAACCTAATTCGAAGACGGCTAAGAGAAGAAATTTGTATATACTTTTCACGTCTCTATAATCTGTATTGTCTCAAAAAATTAGTAAAAGTTGTTTTACACTAGTGGCAGAGCTACGCTAATGGCATGAGAGATTATAGCCATTATAAACTCTCACATTCATATAAAATTACATGTAAATTTATAATAAATTTTAAAATATAATAGTTGATAAAACTTTATCTCTCTTTGTTGGTTCAAATTTTCTGAGCATACATTTTTAGCTCACCCTCATTTAGATTTATGGTTCCACTAGCTATAACTAGCAGATATTGTATTAATGAATCACATAACATTCAAGTGCTATTTATTTATTTATTGGGTAAATAACTATTTATTTTCTTTAATAATTAGTCGATTGATTTATTGCATTGGCTTTTCTTTGTGTCATAACATCAAACTTTTGAGATCGTAGCTTCCATTTATATATGTAACCCACCAAACTAACAAGATTTCTTGATGTTTGATGCATAATAATGATTTCATTCATGCCATTCACTTCAATTATGTCACATTCATATAACACGCACCTTTCAGAATCAACATTGCAACTAAATACTATCCAAGGGGATTTATTTTTAATGCTTGATTAGTAGCAAACTATTTCACATCCATAATTATGAGTGCGTAGAATACACCTCATTGATAATATCATTTGTAATTTAACAAACATTTCGCGAATTTAAAATAATTGTTTTAAAGGGATCAGTGCTTTAAAGTACAATTTGAAGTTGTACCATAACGTTAAATGTATTAATTGAAGTTGTACCATAAGAGAATTTGTACATTTATGTTATGTTACAATTTGATTGTACCATAACATAAAGGTACAACTTTAGTTTGTATCATAAATAGATTTACACAAAAGAGATTAGGTATAACCCGAAGTTGTACCATAACTTAAATATACAACTTCAAGTTGTACCATAAAAGTAAAAAAAACTAAAACTAAAACACCAATACTTTATAGAATTGTAAAATTCCTCTTTTACATGACCTTTGATATTTATTAAAAGTACTTTCAGTAGTTAATCAGTCAAACACTCAACTGTACTTCTTTAAAACTTTTTTATAAGCTATAGGAAAAACCATTGCAAAAGATTCAGCATGACCAAACTAGTCATATATACCGAAATATATGGTGTACGTTAGGCATACTCATATTGAATAATCATAAGAGATTATATTAAATTTTTTTCTTGGAAAATGTACTTGTCATATAGTTTCAAATAATGTATAATTGCTAAATCTTTCCATATCAGGCTCTGATCAATTAGTAGAGTTCCTAATGATTCATAGGTTAGACTAATCGGGGGTTAAAGAGGCTTTTTGATAAATTGAGCAATTGACTAATAAAGCTTTTTTTTTGTACGTGGAGACCTTTTTCTTATAATATTCTCTTGATAAAACTCTTTATTATAATTGTAAATCTCACTCTACAGTATAGCGAATCTACATCTAACCTATGAATCCTTAGGAACTCTACTAATCGATCAGTATTTGCTGATGCGATCGTGTAAATAGTGCTTGTAAAACTTGCCAACGGCCGCGAAAAGTTGAACGGTATAATATTGCAAGTAGGCTTGGCAACGGGGCGGATCGGGGCCGGGTACCCCGGATCCGTTGCCCACCCACCATGGGCCTCGGGTATCCCCGTCCCCGGCCCAAACGGATTTGCGGGCTTGGATGGATAGCCATCACCGTACCCAATGGTTAATCGGGTGCCCGCGGGTCTATAATACCCGTTACCAAATCATGAAAAAAAAAATACAACAAAATTCTGGAAACTGGACACTTTATTGATATTTCATACTGACTGGTCTGTTTAAACTTAAAAAGACTTCAAAGTTCAAATAAACAACTGAAACTCTGAAAGCTTGCCAAGCAGCTCAGCAACAACAACCAAAAACAACTTCTGTTTCCTGTTTATGACTAGAAATGATCAAATCAAAATATCAAATGAACCAAACAACCAAATAGAAGGACGTTCCCAAAATTCTAAATCTTATCCAAAAACAGTAGAATGAAATAGGTTCAAGCAACAGCAACAGCAACGCAGCAACATTCCAGCAACATCGAATCATTGAGAATTGAGAAATCATCCACCCGACCACCCCTGACCCTCATTCCAATCGATGTAAACCAGCAGACCAACAATCATCAATTGAAACTGAATAAATTACACACAAGAGCAATGATTAAGTTAGTAAAGACTAAATGAAAAACTGTCAAAAACGACAACAAATAAAGACAATTATACCTTGGTCCCACAGCAGATTACCAATCAGTCTTCATGGGCAAATGGTGATCTCATTAAGGTGAGTTCTGGACCTGAAAAAGTGAAACAATGCAAGTATAAGTATGAAATAATAGAAATTAGAACACATTATGGAAAAATGATAATTTGATCTTACCACCAGGTTCTGCCTCTTCCACAGTTGTATCTTCGAGTGTCATTGTTGAGAAGAGTCCATCCAATGCCTCCACAGCAGCCTCCGAATCTGCAGAGAACCAGTTCAATGACTTAATACTATTATTAAAACGTAAAGCAATAAACTTGAGAGATATAGTTGCATTTTACCTCGTTGCATGTCCTCCATTATCCAACTCCTAGTACACATCATTGCCTCCACAGTCGAATAATGCAGCCTGCTCCGGTGAGGGTCTAACAACCTCCCACCAGAACTAAATGCACTCTCAGAAGGAACAGAAGTAATAGGGATTGCCAGAAAGTCCCTTGCGATTGATTGCAAGGTAGGATACTTCAAACCATTCAATTTCCACCACAAGAGCAGATCAAACTCTGCTATGCGAGGAATGATATCCTCAGCAAGATACATATCCAACTCAGTTGTAATCAAGGAAGTCTTACTCTTTTTCCTTTGGCTTACAAAGAGTTCAAAGTCAAGTTCAGTGGCAGAGGCAGATCCAGAACCAGAAGAAGAAGTTCCAGTTTCAGAACCAGATTTTTTCTCAGCTTTGGTTTGATAATCACGAATCAAACCACATATCATTTGCTTGATATTCTCAGCAACCAAACCAGTTTCAGTATTCCCAAACTTTCCAGCATAGTATTCAATCACATGGAGTTTATATCTAGGATCCAAAACAACCGATACAGCAAGCACAAGATGGATATCATCCCAGTACTTATCAAACTTCAGTGACATTTGACTAGCTGTAACACCCTACCCTATACGTATTACCTAATCATATTGTTCATACAATTGCAGCGGAAATAATCTCGGGTGTTACATTACTTATCAAAATTTACCAGAATAAAATTTCGACATGAATTACTCGCGTAATGGGCTAACAGTTCTTCCATCTGATCCTGCAAAATAATTCATCTAAATCCATGCATTCATAGACAAACATATACACTCACTGCCATATGCATTGGCTTTTCATAGCCATAGTCACAGTTTCATGTTACACAACTGCATACTATACTGATACATGCTATAATAATCACAACTTACACCACCACCACACACATATACACATATAATCAACTTTCCAAACTTGTGGATATCTCACACTACATCAAAAGCTAATATGCACATGAAAATGTTCTGAAAACATTTTTTACAAAAAGGTGTGGATCACTGGCCAAAATCCCGAGTAGTAGTCCAAGCACAGAATAGTTGAAGACCATACCTCATCTTGCCTTCAACTCTTGCTCCTCTCCCACCTAATACTTATCTACTGCTGCTATTGATAATCTGCTTACACATGGCATAAGCAGAGATAAAGGATAAAGAGGGTCAGCTCATAGCTGAGTGAGATAATCATAGCATCGTGAGTTCATAACAGAGCATACCCCTACCATACATCTAGCAAACAAGCCAAAGCACTAGGATCAGACCTCAGGCATCCGACATCCCACTAGGCAAAAGACTCAACCACATTGACTTATGCATATGCATCTTATCATGTTTTAATCATAGGCGCCTGGCTACTCCCATGCTATTAACTCTCCCGGGAAACATACCCCACATCCCGTCGGATGTAGTCATACATACCCCAACATCCCGTCGGATGTGGTCATACATACCCCACACCACTATGGGTGTAGTCATACCCCGACACCGCTCTGGGTGTGGTCATATCTCGTAAGAAATCTTCAGTCACCACCACATGAGAGGTGTGACTATCATACATATCATAATAGAGTAATAGCATAGGGAGCCCTAATTACTATGTAGTTGACCGTGAGACCACAACACTCATATTTGGTATCCTTATACATGATTCATATCTCATCTTGCTTAATCATAATTCATTACTTGCACATGTACTTGACCTGGCCATAATTGGCTCAACATAGGTAAACCAGGAGTCGTATAATTGCACTTCATCGGGATAAACCCTCGTGCAAGTCATCCTCCTTAAATATCATAATATCACCATGAGATATATATTTTCCCACTTGTACATCCAAATACATCAATCATGAATGTCATACCCAATCACCTTTTCGAACCATCATAAGGCAAATCAACAGTCAAGCCCACAATTTGCAACATATACGAAATCATCAGCATAAACAAGGTTCATATCGATTAGGGCAAGTCAATAATATCATACAGCAATCCAGGGTTCAACATATCGCACAAAAGTTCATACACCCCTAATCATGCCATTCTAGTTCACCTAGGTCAATTCTAAGCATCAACATAATTATCGTGATACGACAAACCCGGTATGCCGTGCTAATCCCTCACCAGTTCTGGTCGTTTAAACACCGGTTCTAGCCTCCCGTACTAAAACGTCAATTTCACGAACGAACCCCGAATTAAAATCCGAGACCGCCCTAATATCCCCTGCAGTATCCCCGTCAATATTAGTTCTAGGCTCCGGGTCAAATTCTTGATAAAAGCACATCAAACCCTGGCCGGAGCTAAATTCAGCAATTAGGACCCCGACCTAAATAATAGCCGAAATTCATGGATTAGAACTAGAGGATTGATTACCTCGCTGCAGGAAGCTCGTATATGAAATTTGAGCTCAATCCGGCTTCCGGATACTCCGAAACCCTAATTTTGCTTATCGGGAATTCAAGAAATTCCTGAACCAAAAACTCGTTTTAAAGCTCTAAATCGATAAATCACGATGAATAGATGAATTAGGCATTACTTACGGGATTTTTGGATCACTAGAACTCAAGAATTGTGCTTAGGAATTTTCGCCCGACGTTCCCCTGAACTCTTCCGCTTGCTCTGTATCTCTCGGTTCTCGGCAATTAAAAGGAAGAAAGGAATGAGATGGAAATGGAAATGGACCGGAGGGGGGCATTTGCTGTATATATATAAAGAGTAAAGCGCCGCTTAACTTTCCTTTACTTTTTACTTTTCTAATTATATATATATATAATTAATACGTATACTTATCCGATCGATCGATAATCCTATTTTCGCCGAAATACTGTCAAAACACTCGATTTTAAATCGTGAAATTTTCTAGCGATCGAAATATGGGTTTTGCCGGAACGGGATGTTACAATTCTCCCCTCCTTAAAAAGATTTCGTCCCCGAAATCTAACCTTGAGTTGTACCCTTAGTCCGCTTACTTACCCTAAGGTTATTACCTGACTCTTAGGTTAGGAGATCTAAATTACATAAATAAATTCATAACACCTCAAGTTCCCAATATAAGGTTTCAAAAACCTATATCAGGTTATCACAACAAAAGCACATCAACAAGTTCAAAAGCATAATTCACTAAACCAAGTTATTAACCTGCAAGGTAGATTGCCACTAACACAAGGTTATATGAACCTACAAAATGGTTACCACCGCATCATCAAGATTCATATCTCTATTCAAATATCTACCATCACAATTCATCATGTTAGCACAGCCTAAACCCAACTGCATTGCATAGCTAGCCACCATGCTTCTCAATTGGTTAGTAGGATTTCTAGAACAACTTCTGTGCGAGCTACAAGGAAATATTGGCCATAACTTGATCCACACACCATTAAAAATTTCTGTCAAAATCATTACTTGGACAACAAGATAAAAACTCCACATATTTTCAGAAATCTCTTAAACCATAAAATTTTCAAGATTCCTTCAAATACTCAAAATCATGTTTGACCATATGCAACAGACTATGCAACACATCATCACCTTTGGTCCCAATCCTGGAAAGTTTAGTGCAAATACAGGTATGGAGTACTCCCTCCCCTTCTGAGGGTGATCAGTCCTCAAGAGTGAAAGTAACATACCCATAATGCAGAAAACAAACCAGCTCTGATACCAAACTGTAACACCCTACCCTATACGTATTACCTAATCATATTGTTCATACAATTGCAGCGGAAATAATCTCGGGTGTTACATTACTTATCAAAATTTACCAGAATAAAATTTCGACATGAATTACTCGCGTAATGGGCTAACAGTTCTTCCATCTGATCCTGCAAAATAATTCATCTAAATCCATGCATTCATAGACAAACATATACACTCACTGCCATATGCATTGGCTTTTCATAGCCATAGTCACAGTTTCATGTTACACAACTGCATACTATACTGATACATGCTATAATCATCACAACTTACACCACCACACACATATACACATATAATCAACTTTCCAAACTTGTGGATATCTCACACTACATCAAAAGCTAATATGCACATGAAAATGTTCTGAAAACATTTTTTACAAAAAGGTGTGGATCACTGGCCAAAATCCCGAGTAGTAGTCCAAGCACAGAATAGTTGAAGACCATACCTCATCTTGCCTTCAACTCTTGCTCCTCTCCCACCTAATACTTATCTACTGCTGCTATTGATAATCTGCTTACACATGGCATAAGCAGAGATAAAGGATAAAGAGGGTCAGCTCATAGCTGAGTGAGATAATCATAGCATCGTGAGTTCATAACAGAGCATACCCCTACCATACATCTAGCAAACAAGCCAAAGCACTAGGATCAGACCTCAGGCATCCGACATCCCACTAGGCAAAAGACTCAACCACATTGACTTATGCATATGCATCTTATCATGTTTTAATCATAGGCGCCTGGCTACTCCCATGCTATTAACTCTCCCGGGAAACATACCCCACATCCCGTCGGATGTAGTCATACATACCCCAACATCCCGTCGGATGTGGTCATACATACCCCACACCACTATGGGTGTAGTCATACCCCGACACCGCTCTGGGTGTGGTCATATCTCGTAAGAAATCTTCAGTCACCACCACATGAGAGGTGTGACTATCATACATATCATAATAGAGTAATAGCATAGGGAGCCCTAATTACTATGTAGTTGACCGTGAGACCACAACACTCATATTTGGTATCCTTATACATGATTCATATCTCATCTTGCTTAATCATAATTCATTACTTGCACATGTACTTGACCTGGCCATGATTGGCTCAACATAGGTAAACCAGGAGTCGTATAATTGCACTTCATCGGGATAAACCCTCGTGCAAGTCATCCTCCTTAAATATCATAATATCACCATGAGATATATATTTTCCCACTTGTACATCCAAATACATCAATCATGAATGTCATACCCAATCACCTTTTCGAACCATCATAAGGCAAATCAACAGTCAAGCCCACAATTTACAACATATACGAAATCATCAGCATAAACAAGGTTCATATCGATTAGGGCAAGTCAATAATATCATACAGCAATCCAGGGTTCAACATATTGCACAAAAGTTCATACACCCCTAATCATGCCATTCTAGTTCACCTAGGTCAATTCTAAGCATCAACATAATTATCGTGATACGACAAACCCGGTATGCCGTGCTAATCCCTCACCAGTTCTGGTCGTTTAAACACCGGTTCTAGCCTCCCGTACTAAAACGTCAATTTCACGAACGAACCCCGAATTAAAATCCGAGACCGCCCTAATATCCCCTGCAGTATCCCCGTCAATATTAGTTCTAGGCTCCGGGTCAAATTCTTGATAAAACCACATCAAACCCTGGCCGGAGCTAAATTCAGCGATTAGGACCCCGACCTAAATAATAGCCGAAATTCATGGATTAGAACTAGAGGATTGATTACCTCGCTGCAGGAAGCTCGTATATGAAATTTGAGCTCAATCCGGCTTCCGGATACTCCGAAACCCTAATTTTGCTTATCGGGAATTCAAGAAATTCCTGAACCAAAAACTCGTTTTAAAGCTCTAAATCGATAAATCACGATGAATAGATGAATTAGGCATTACTTACGGGATTTTTGGATCACTAGAACTCAAGAATTGTGCTTAGGAATTTTCCCCCGACGTTCCCCTGAACTCTTCCGCTTGCTCTGTATCTCTCGGTTCTCGGCAATTAAAAGGAAGAAAGGAATGAGATGGAAATGGAAATGGACCGGAGGGGGGCATTTGCTGTATATATATAAAGAGTAAAGCGCCGCTTAACTTTCCTTTACTTTTTACTTTTCTAATTATATATATATAATTAATACGTATACTTATCCGATCGATCGATAATCCTATTTTCGCCGAAATACTGTCAAAACACTCGATTTTAAATCGTGAAATTTTCTAGCGATCGAAATATGGGTTTTGCCGGAACGGGATGTTACACTAGCCATTCCAAAAATGACAGGATTGGGATCAAGACCCCACTCATTCAGTTTAAGTCTGAGATCACATATCTTAGGGAAGAACAGATTGGCAGTAGGATATTTGGAACCAGAGAACAACTCAGTAATCTCAGAAAAGATTTCCAGCTTCCCAATCACAGTAGAAGCAAATTCCCATTGTTCACCAGAAGGAACAGATGTGTAATGATTGTCTCTCAAACTCAAACGAAAGAAAACATCCTTGTAGGGAATAGCAACAGAGAGCATATGATAGGTGGAATTCCACCTAGTTGGACAATCAAGGACTAACTTTTTCTCAACAGACAACTTAAGTTGCTTAGCAACTTCGAAGAAGGTTCGAACCCTCTTAGGTGTAGAATTCCAGTAAACTACACTCTCCCTAATCAAATTTATAGCATCCTTGATTGCATCCAAACCATCCCTTACAATCAAATTCAGAATATGAGCAGAACACCTCATATGAACCAATTTACCATCAAGCAACAAGTCACTGCTCAGAAGCTTAGTTCTCATGTGGAAAATCATGGAATCATTGGTGGTACAGTTGTCCAATGTGATTGAGGACAACTTACCATCAATGTTCCAATCCAAAAGACAGTCAAACAACCTATCAGCAAGCCTTTCACTGGTGTGAGGGGCTGGAACATACATAAATCTCATCATTATGTTACGGAGTTTCCAAGAGTTATCAATGAAGTGACCAGTTACTGCCATATAACCCCTTTTCTGATTTCTGGCAGTCCACAAATCAGTTGTAATTGCAACCCTCCCCAGGTTACCATCAATAATTGTCTGATATTTACCCCTTTCAACACCATACAAACTCAAAATGTCCTTTTTGACAGTGTTTCTACTAGGAACACTGAACTGAGGTTGAAGAGAACAGCAAAAACGTTTGAAACCCACATGATCAACAAGGCTAAGGGGGTACTCATGGACCAGAATCATTGAGCAAAGTTCCTTCCTAGAAACCTCATAATTGTACTGAGAAGCAGAGAGTTGAGGATTTCCAGCAGGTTTATAGTTAGGCCCAAGTATTTTTTGAGAACCATCATGTATCCTCTTTTGGATACATGTTTTGATATGGGTTCTTAGGTGTGAAGTTCCATTACTTGTTTCCCCACCAAGGGATTTACGACAGTACTTACACCTAGCCTTCATAACCCCATTAACCCTAACTCGGTTAAAGTGAGGCCACACATCAGAGGTTAATTTACGTTGAGCTTCAAGCTCCTCAACATTACCAGGTTGTTCAGGTTGAGGTTGGACAAGTTGTTCAGGTTGAGGTTGGACTTGGACACCATTTTCAGGAGCATCCACATTGGGAGCAAGGTCAACATTTATAGCAGGAGCACCTTCCATCTGACATAATATATATTAAGCCTTAGTTAATACTTAATAGTCATTAACTTAGTTACATGATTTAAATTTATACTAAGTCTTAATGTTTAGATGATCTGAACATTAAGCCTTAGTTAATAGTTATTAACTTAGTTATTAACATTAACTCATTAAGCCTTGCAAACAAACATCTCTAGCAGCAAAATCACGCTTACAGTTTCATTAATTTTACTTATTAGCTCGGTGAATCCACTGTTTGTTACAACAAGTCGCAGCATTATGAACAAACAGTCAAACAGTCAAACACAGTGAGGTGAGGGCGTGAGGCTTAAGAGATAACTGGGATTACCTTCTCGGATTGGAGTTTTATGTGGACTGTCGAGTACCCAATGACAGTAGACCGCTCCTAACTGCTCACTGACTCTGTTCTGCTTCAGTTCTCCAAACCAGTAAACCCGATCTGGATCCAAACGAGACCAACCTAGCCCAAACAAGAGTGAACAAGAAGAGTCAGTGAACAAATAAAACACAAACCAAGTTAGAACTGGAATTTAATGCATGCATGTATGTATTATGAGACCACTAACCCTAGACAAGATCAAGAAACTTACCCTCGACGACTGGACTCTGTCTGCTTCAGTTCTCTAAACCAGTAAACCCGATCCAAAGTTGCAAAGGAGACCAACCTAGCCCAAACAGAGCGAACAAGAAGAGTCAGTGAACAAATAAAACACAAACCAAGTTAGAACTGGAATTTCATGCATGCATGTATGTATTATGAAACTTAGACGAGATCTAGAAACTTACCCTCGACCTCGACGACTGGACTGTGTCTGGATGCTCGGGCGCTCGGCTAAATCCCTCGGTCTCTGCTCTCTGTTGACTCGACTTGGGTGTTCTTGTTCTCGATTTGAGAACTCAGAAGATGGCGTGGTGAGAACTGAGAAACGACCTCTGCCCTCTAAATCCCCCCTATATATACAAGTGGAAGAAGAGTCAGTAGAGAGTTAGGGGAACGGGGAATCAGGGAAGAAATTTGAAAGAAAAGAAAAGATAAGAAACCCAGAAAGAAACTTATCTTTTCTCGAACTCGAAGAATCAGCGATTCGGACTTCCAACGAGGCAACGACTCGTTTTTGGACTGCGGCCGACGAAATCTTCGTCGGATGATTCCTCTTTGAGCCATGCAATTGGTCGAATGGAGGATTTGATGAGGGGAAATGACGAAAAATCGGCCAGATCGCGATTATCTAGCGATCTGATCGCTAATCGCCAGAGAGGAGGCAGAGAGAAGAAGGAAACTAGGGTTTCTGTTCGATTTGGCGGATACCCGGATTTGGGCCCCGGCCTGCCATCCCTAATTGCAAGTGGGGCTATCAATTGATCCATTTGGGAAGGGTAATGGGTATTTTGGTATTAATTTCACCCCACTAATTAGGAACCGGTTGGTAGTCATGTAAATAATCTACCCCTTATTCTCAATTCACATAGTATCTCACATTTCATTGTTTTTCGTGTGTTATTTTAGAGCGGATATCATAAATATTATATTGATACACCATGTAATTTGAGAATTCATGTTACCATGATATCTCCAATAATTTGAATTTTGAATTAACCTAAAGCATTTGATATCATGCTAAATTATGCACGCCTTGAATTCATACAATCCAAGTAATGTAATAATTACATGAATTCTCACGAGCTCATCCACAAAACACATGATATGTTAAAGATTAATTTAATCTATAATACATGCTTACAAACAACTCTTAAATTTGGATATATTTGGTTAATGCGGACCAAATCATAATCACCCTAATCAATAAGCACCCACAAATATACAATTTACACTTCCGCAATTGAAGCACATGACTTTTTTTTTATCATAAGCACATGACTTTTTTTTTTTATTAGGGTGATTATGTCCGGTCCGACTCGCAGCCGCAAGAAAACCCTCCGGCGTCCGATCCGACTATGTCCGGTCGTCCGCCGGACCCTCCTCCGCTTCAACCCCTTCTTTCTGATTCAGCTGCAAAACCTCTGGCTCTAAATTTCAAAGCGGCCCTCTCTGGATCGCCGACGGCGAGTCATACACGCATCCCTCAATGGACTTTCGTTGGAGACCAAGACCTTGAACCATCATCCTTTCAAGGGGAGCCTGCTCTGACAGTCTCTCCCGCCTTGAAGGAACGTTTATGCCAGCCATGGAAGAAGACACTGATAGTAAGGTTACTTGGTCGATCGGTCTCCTACAATTACATCTGCTCCCAACTTCGATGGAAGTGGCGGCCAGTAGGCTCGTTGGAAATCATGGATCTCAACAACGACACTTTCCTGGCCACGTTTGGCAACGATCAGGACTACCTTCGAGCCTTGACCGGGGGACCGTGGGTCATCCTTGATCATTACTTGATCGTGCATCAATGGTCTCCCTCCTTCCGTCCGTCCGATAAACCACACAAATCTGTGGTTGCCTGGGTTCAGCTCCCAGAGCTGCCGGTTCATTTTTACCACAGAGAAGTTCTATTTGCTTTGGGAAATCTCATCGGCAGAACAATAAAGCTGGATTACCACACAGAAAGGTTGGAAAGGGGCAAGTTCGCTCGCATCGCAGTAGACCTGGATATGACCAGGCCACTACCAACTCGAATTTGGCTTGATGGAATATGGCAAGCGGTGGTTTACGAGAATCTTCCGACCATATGCTATGACTGCGGTCGCATCAGACATTCTGAGGAACACTGCCCGGAGAAGAAGCCCTCAAATTCGTTAGCTATGATACCCATCCTTGATCCTGATCAGCAACATTCGCCGCCGGCTGAAGTTGCATCGGAACCCCCTGCCGGATTCGGTCCTTGGATGCAAGTCTCGCGTAAATCCAGGAAGCCAAAACAGAAAGCCGTGTCAAAGGCCGGAAATCAAGCTGATTCTACTATGAAAGGGGTCGTGGAATCAGGGCGGGGATCAGGCAAGCCAACTTCAAAAGGAAAGGCAGATATCGCGAAAATCACCTCTGCAAAGGAAGAGAAAGGGAAAGTTGTTCTACGACCAGCCTCAAATAATGGATCTACATCTAACCAAAAAGGTAAAATGATAATGAAGGATATGAAGACAGCCAACGGGAAAGTCACAGAGGAAGATGCCAAGGAGTGGAGACCAGTGGGCCTTAAGGGTAATCCATCAAGCAATGGAAAGTTGTTAGCAAGCCAGCCCAGTAATGACAAGGAAGCCTCCCCGTCCTCATCTAAGAATACAATCTCGCAGCCCGTTACCCAAACCGTTCTTGGGCCCAACAACACCAAAATCCATATTGTGGCGGTTCCACCCCTGGTTACCAACCAAAAAGAAAACTCCGATCCTAAAAGTCGGTCATCGTCGGCTAGAGAGCACTTTACCAAGAAGGGCAACAATAAGAACCAAAATCAAGAGAAACACAGGGGAATTAATCTCAAAGCGGTGAAGAAGCCAATTCAGATCAACTCGTCGGGCATGTTAGAAATGTCCAAGCAAAGGAAGGGGTCGACGTTTCCAATCACTATCAAGGATATCGAGGGTTTTTTCGCTACTTCTCCGCCGGTGACCGATGGCAAATCCCGTAACGATGACGAATCCATCAAAGATGTTATGATGGCGGAAGAAGCGTGCGCTCAAATGACAACGGCCAACCCTGAGCTTGCGCCTCCTCAAGCTCCCGCCCTTTCACCTCAATGATCCCTGAGCTTCTACGCTCGATTTTTCCTTTCTTAACCCTTTCTCCTTTTCCTATGTCTAGTAGCTTAAACATTAAAATCTTGTATTGGAATGTGTGTGGTGCAGGCAGCAAGGCTTTCAAAAGAGCCATCCGGTTGCTTATTCAAAGCTACAATCCCCACTTCCTTCTTTTGTTCGAACCTCAGATCAGTGGAGACAAGGCGGATACGGTTTGCGGAAGCTTGGGTTTTGATGAAGTTATCCGAGTTGATGCTGAGGGGCGCAAGGGTGGGATCTGGCTAGCGTGGAAAACCAATGATTTCCAGCTTCAAGTTATCGATGCTAGCAAACAGCATGTCACCGCGAAAGTGTCGAGTATCAATAACCCGGATTGGCTGCTCACCGGAATCTATGGGAGTCCTCAGTACAAGTATCATGGACTTCTCTGGGATAAGCTGATTAATACTAGAGCGAGTTGTAATCTGCCCTGGATCATTTCTGGAGATTTCAACTCCTATCGTCTCCCTTCTGAAAAATCGGGGCCTAGCACAGCAGCATCTTTGCGGCGATGTTCAAAATTTGCAGGTTGGATTGATGCAGCTAACCTCATTGATCTGGGATACTCTGGTGCTCGATATACCTGGTTTAGAGGAGATACCAGCAGGACTCACAGAGCTAGTAGGATAGATAGGTCTCTTTGTAATGCGGAATGGAATGCTACCTTCCCTCACACCACGGTCCAGCATCTACCCAAGTTACACTCTAATCACCTTCCCATTTTGACGTCGAGTCACCAGCAGGCTAATATTTTCAGCCCGGACAAACCCTTTCGCTTCGAAGCAGCTTGGTTGCTCCATGATAAGTTTGCAGAATTCCTGAACAACTCCTGGAATGCCGCTGCAACATTGCCACAAGCTCTTGCTGAGGTAGCTGACAAATTGAAGAAGTGGAATAAGGAAGTGTTTGGAATTATCCACCAACGCAAAAGAAGATTGCTAGCTAGGATTCAGGGCATCCAGCAGAAAATTGCAGACAGCTTCCATCCAGGGCTACTGAAACTTCAAGCTAAACTGGAAACTGAGCTTGACACTATCCTAGCTCAAGAGGAACTGATTTGGTATCAACGAGCTAATGAGAAGTGGGTGCATCTTGGTGAACAGAACACTTCTTATTTTCATCACCAGGCGACTAGACGCAGTAGACACAACAAAATCACCACTCTGCAGGATGACAATGGAGATTGGATTGATGATCCTGATAAGCTAGAGGAGCTGGTTCTGAATTTCTACAAAGTCCTCTATCAACAAGACACTGAACCTTACATTGACTTGCTGCCAAAAAATTGCTTCCCACGACTGTCCCAGGATGATCTACTTTCCTTACTTCGTCCCTTCTCTATTTCTGATTATCATAAAGCAATTTTCAGCATGAAACCACTCTCGGCCCCTGTTCCAGATGGTTTTCAGGCCCTTTTTTATCAGAAATTTTGGACAGCTGTGGGGAGAACTTTAACTAATATGGCTACTGGTTTTTTTGAAACAGGAGCTATACCAGAGAGCCTGATGAACTCCACTATTGTTCTCATTCCTAAGAAGGACCGGCCGGAAACTCCTGCTCAATTAAGGCCAATATGTCTCAACAATGTTGGATTAAAAGCAATCACCAAGGCCATCACGAACAGATTAAAGCCTCTGATGCCGAAGCTCATTGCCCCTACCCATAGTGGTTTTATTCCGAAGAGACAGACGAATGATAATATCCTCATCCTCCAGGAGGTGCTCCACTCGCTACGATCAAAAAAAGGAAGAAAGGGTGGACTTGTTATTAAAATAGACTTGGAGAAGGCTTACGACCGGCTTAGGTGGGATTTCATAAGGGACACCCTAGGAGAGGTCGGACTCCCAAGTACCTGGACGAGTCGTATTATGCATTGTGTCGAGCACAACTGTATGAGGATTAGTTGGAATGGAAGACTTACGGATCCGATTACTCCCTCTCGCGGAGTGCGGCAGGGCGACCCTCTCTCGCCATATCTCTTCGTCCTGTGTATGGAGCGGTTGGCCCATCGGATTGAAAAAGCCATAGCTGACAAACAATGGAAACCCCTTACCATCTCTGTTAATGGCCCTAAACTCTCACACTTATTTTTTGCAGACGACCTAATTTTGTTTGCAGAGGCGGAGAGCAGCCAGGTTGCCATCATTCGTCAATGCTTGGAGGATTTTTGTTCGAGTTTAGGGCAGAAGGTGAACTTGTCGAAATCAGCTATGCTTGTCTCCTCCAACATTCCTCAACGTAAAGCTCAGCATTTGAGTGAGCGAGCAGGAATTCCCCTGACTACCGATCTTGGAAAGTATCTAGGTCTCGAGACTATCAATGGACGTGTTTCAAAAGTCAGATACAAGGACCTCTGCCTTAGAATCCAGAAGAAGCTAGGACTGTGGAAAACTAGACATCTCTCCATGGCAGCCCGAATGACTCTGGTGAGATCTGTCTCATCGTCGATGACTGTTTATCCTATGTTCACAGAGAAACTTCCAATTTCTGTTTGCAACTCTCTTGATAAAAATAACAGGCAGTTCATTTGGGGCGAAGAGGATGGGAAAAACAAGTTCCATAACTTAGCCTGGGATCAAATGACCCTGCCACGAAGCCAAGGAGGTGCAGGGAATAGGCCAACTCGACTAGCTAATCAGGCTATGTTGGCCAAAGGAGCTTGGAAGATTGTTAACAAAGATCAAACACTCTGGTCTCGTGTTATGAGAGCTAAGTACAACCGAGGCAGGGAAGGGATGGATGCTCTGCGAAAATCTAAGGGAAGTTCAATGGCCTGGAAAGGCTTCACTAGCTGTGTGAATGTCTTAAAGAAAGGGTGTGCTTTTAACATTGGAAATGGGCGCAACACTAATTTTTGGTATGATACTTGGGCCTTGCAGGTTCCTTTGGCTGAAGTCACTACAGGAGAAGTGCCGGACGAGCTGAGGGAGAAGAAAGTTGCTGACTTTTGGGAGCCAGATCATGGATGGAAGCTAGGCGACTTCCAGCACTTGCTGCCGAGTGATGCTACAGATAGAATCCGGAGCATCATTGTTGATCCGCTCACAGTTGAAGACGATAGGATCATCTGGAATCTCTCCTCGAATGGTCAGTTCTCGACCAGCTCGGTGTACATGGCGATCTCCCCTCAAGACACCTCTAGGCCAGCCTCCTTTTGGCAAAGAGTTTGGAAGCTTCAAGCTCCTGAACGTGTTCGGGTGTTCATTTGGCTAGCTATTAAAGGCAAGATAGCGACCAATAACATCCGGAAGAACAGGCACCTCACTACAGACGACAGATGCCCACAATGCAACAATGAATCGGAAACAATTCTACACTGCTTAAGAGATTGTCCCATAGCCAAAGCAGTGTGGCTCAAGGTTGTCTCCAGCAGTCGGCAGCAACAATTCTTTCAAACAGATCACGACAGCTGGTTCAAGCTAAATATAATGGATGATTCTACAGGTGAATGGGCTGGAACGTGGGCGGGTTTTTTCAGCCTTCTCCTGTGGTATATATGGAAATGTAGGAATGACAAAGTTTTCAAAGAACAACATCTGACTAGCTCCACTCTTCACAACTACGTGACTACGAAGGCTTCGGAGTGGGCAAAAGCTTGGGTTAAGGGCAGCGTGAGGAGTGACAACATTAACAGAGGTCAGCGGGAAGAGGAGTTGATTAGCTGGAAAGCCCCCGCTCCCGAATGGTATAAAATGAATACGGATGGTGCTGCCCAGATCCCGTCTGGTCTTGCTACAGTTGGGGGAGTTCTTCGGAACAGCTATGGAGACTGGATTGGAGGATTTTGCACCAAGATCGGTACAGGCACGGCTTTGTTGGCGGAGCTTTGGGGTATTTGGCAGGGTCTGCAGCTGGCTTGGAAACTTGGCAGCCAGTTCCTCATTCTGGAAACGGATTCTAGACTGGCTCTCGCCCTGATTGAGAATCGGCGCGACATGACACATCCATATGCTACTATTCTCGGAGCCATTCATAGATTACTTGCTCAAGGATGGGTGGTTCGACTAGAACATACGTATCGCGAGGGGAATAGAGTCGCGGACTGGCTCTCGAAGCACAGTCTCGTCTATCCCTTCGGTACATATGAACTAGAAGACCCCCTCCGAATCTTGGCAAACTTCTGCAGGACGATGTGTTGGGAATTAGTTTCCCCAGACAGGTGCTCCAAGGGCGTGCTGGCACTGGTAGTTAATCCCCTATTATTAATGTATTTTGAGATAGTCTGTTTTGGCTTCCTACTGCTGCGTTAGGAGCTGTTCCTCCTTTCCTTCAGCAGTTGTATTTTGTTTCTGGCCTTGGCCTCCTTTAATAAAAAAAAAAATGAATATGTTATGAACCGAAAATTACTCTATAAAATAATTTAATACAATTATACAAACAATTTTTGTATGGATCATATTTGTAGCTAAAACCCGCCGAAGAGGGGGCATAATACTAGTATCATTATTAAGGAATGACTGAATAAACTCTCACAAAATTATTATTATATATAAAGAATAAGCAAAGTTACTGTTGCATAAATAATTACATTTTGATACCTCAAATTGAATTAAATTACAATTTAGTCATTATAATATATATTTTATATTTTGGTATCCGAAATTTTATTTTAATGCAAAATTAATAAACCGTTATGTTTTGGTATTTAAATTTTACTAGTCTTCTTTACCCGTGCCCCGCAACGGGATTTGAGCAAAATAAACAAAGCAAAGAATTGCCTTCTGTATTTCACACTACATTATTAGAGGTTGTGCTAATGAAGTTATAGATACAAACGTCATAAGCATAAACAACCCAGTGTTAACTGTTGATTTTCAAGTCATAAAACCATTGAAACACTTACAAAGTTTGGATAGTATCTTAGTCAGGTGATGATTTAGTATAATTGATATAAATAAATTAGCTATAAAATATTTCAAAGGACCCCCACAATGTAAATTTAAAAATAAAATACTCAATTGGGCATGAGAAAAGTATAGTATAGAATCGTCTGAAATACATAGCAGCCACCAACTGTTATATTTTTCTGCATGTAACATTCAAAAGAGGATGATGTAACAACAAAGTTACAACAAAGGGAGAGACCTTTTCCAAAAGCCAAGGCAAATTTCCTCAAGCTATGAGACAACAAATAATCATAACAGGATGAGCACAAAGGCGGCAATTTGAGCACATGGCAACATAAATCAGTTTCCAGGTTGAGCGGCCCTAATTAGCCACCTGCACATCGAAGTAAAACAAACCAAGACAGAAAGAAGTAAATAAATTGGACAAAGATTAATAAGAAATCACAAACAAATTTTGATGGCATCAACTAAGCAGAAAGCAAGAGCAAGAAGAGCAAAGTCTCTAAACTATCAAAGTCAGAAACGGAAAGAAGCATACAATAAAAGTGGCGATGACATCCCAACACAAATCTGCTTGCCGCCAGCGGAAAACTTCCAGCTGCAAAATTAAGAAACAGAGGAATAAATCATATAGCATACCTACCATGAGCACAACAAACCCAAGACAAATATAAACACAGAGGGAAAGACAGAGAACATAACCTGCAAACTTGTAAAATTAGTGCGCTTGCCTCATTGTTGCGGAGACAGTCGGAGGGTACTTGATTCAACAAACCCCTACATCCTTGTGGAGGAGGAAAAACTTTTCAGAACCAAAAAACCCATGACAAAACTAAAAATAACAATAGATCCCGAAACCCACCAAGCAACTCATTAGGGACAGAGACTTGAAGCCAAATCAGTACATGCTAATATTCTCCAGACTCCATTAATTCTAAAATTGGCCACTCATCGCTTCGAAGGGCACAACATTCTCAACAATGGCAGATGAACTAACTGGTATTATCACCAGTGAAATCAAACTGGAAAGTAGACAAAATCATATTCCGTATAAGCACACACAAAAAAAGAGAACAAAAATAATGAATGACAAACAGATTGAACAACATATGCATACCAGAACAGAACCTGTGAATTTGGGTATTCTTCAAATCCTCTTCCCCTATCCCTCAAATTTGCCACTGATTGCTTCTAGGTTCGCTTATCTCCCAAACTGAGGTAAGAAATTCCAAGGGAGATAGAAGAAGTGTGTGTGTGAGAGAGAGAGAGAGAGAGAGAGAGAGAGAGTTAAAAGGGTCAGCTTTAAACAAATCTAAACTACCTCATACAAAAGGCATAAAACTCAGAATTCCGATCCTTTCTAAACCAATATCATATCAACTTAAGATGCAAAAAAAAAACAAACAAACAGAGGAAAACATCAGGTTTCGTACAGCTGGAAGGGATTTGGAGAGGAAGACAGAAAACATTACCTGTAATATAAAAGTTTCTGGTATGAAGCCAGAGTGCTCGCCTAATGGTCAAAAGAAAGCACAAAAAGATTGTAGAATCTTCATCTTGATGACCCATTCATCTATGTCAAGGAGGCAAAAACTCCCCAGATCCACAAAATTCATTAAGCGATCCTAGATTTCAGCTGACGAAACAGACCAAACAACTTATTAGGGACAGGGAGAATAAATAATAATCAGATACCATGCGGAAACGCCATGACTAAACTCCGCATAGAACACCGTGCATCTTGGGTAAAAGTAAGCAGATAATCGATTGTTGTCGGCGCCGAGCTCAAACAACATCTCCTCCTTCTTGGATTCGTCAGTCTCCTCATCGGATTTGAGCTCCTCCCCATCGAGCGGATCTCAGAGTTCCAGATCGGCCGGGCCTTTCCAATCATGAGACGCAGCGAGTTCGACGACACCGTCAAAGGATCCCGGCCAATCCTCTCCCGCACTTCATCCTTCAACTGCTTCCGTCTTTGCCTCTTCTTCATGAATTTCCAGCCATCAATCGGGAGCTCTGATTCCTCCCTCGGCCTCTCAATTTCTCCTCCCACAATTGACCACCCCAAGTCAGTGATTTCCAGAAAGGACATGCGAGAATCAGAGCATAGAAATGTGTAAGAAGGAGATTGTGAAAGGGTATGCGAAAATCAAAGCAGAGAAAAGGGTGGCAAACAATACCTGGGAATTGGCGGCTCATCGACGATTTGAGTCAACTTCCCCATCTCGCTCGATCACCATGGAAAGATGAGAGAGAAGCAGAATTGGAAAGAGAAGAGATTGCAGAGGATAAATAAAGAATACACAAAATGGAAGCGCCAATGCTGAGGATAAGAATAAAAAGTGCACTCGCACATATCTCGAGTCCTGAGTCTTGACTACTCCTCTCTCTCCACCTCTCTCTCTTGTCAATTCGGCGGCACTATCATGATTAAAGGCAAGAAAGTATTGTGTGTCAGATGCAAGAGAGAAACCCCCTTCCTCTCTCTCGTCAGTCCCTGGCCTTAAACAACTTGAAAAACATCACATCCCAAGTCAGCCTCCCTATATCTGATAGCTCCCTTGCTGTCTCTGCCTTTGGCGATCTTGAGAACCAATCCCAGCCCCAAGGTACATCAATTCGCGCAACTGTACAGGCTCCAGTCACCGAGAGGGCTCTGGTGACCAACGCGTTCGTGGACCACAACCGATCCAACAGACCAAAACAGCCCAACGACCAAGTTCCATCCCAACCGACCCGCCAAACACCCGTCCGATTCCAATGAGCCCCCACCCAACGCCAGCCCACACAGCGCCAGCTTCCGGGTTATAACAGTACATTTCGGTCAACATGAGCAGTAAAAGCAGTCTGCGTGTGCAGTACCAGGTCCTGCGGTGGGATTTCTTCTTTCAATGAGATTTTCGGACCTATATTTTTTAAAATTTACATATTGATCCAATGTTTAGATTTCACTTGAATTCATGAATCCAATTCACCAATAGTTCTGAACCAATCCATTAATCCAATCCACCATAACATAAAAGTATCAATTTAGTTTGTACCATACAAGATGTTGTATCACTCAACTGTTGGAGACGATTCAACCATTTTATATTTGCTCATTACGTGAAACATTAAATAAATGATAAAAGAGAGACGACTCTAAAATATTGTTAGAGCGAATTTATAAACTCATTTAGTACATTTATAGGGTTCTAAACAAAATTCTACTAACTACATGTACATCTACATAAGCAAGTGTCAATAAATTGCTACGGTGAGAAGGTTAACCATTGTATTGATGGTCAACTAAAAGAATTTGTCAAAACCTTTCCATCATCTACTTTCTCTTCGTTTTATTTTTCACTCGCCTTCCATAACGCTTTCTTTATTTCTTTATGTGACTTCTTCGTCTAACCCTAATTAGTAAACTATTTCCACGTATTCTAATAACAAGTATTAACGTGTTGATACACGACTGGCCAACAGTCTAGAGAAATAATAATTGAACCATGAACCACTAACTTTTTAAGCTCAATGTTACGTTTAATTAAAAATAAATATATATGGTTATTACTTATTTAAAAGTCTTCATTTTCCACTATGGGATTTGAATGAATGAAATTTTAACCGAGTTCCAGTTTGTATTGTTTTTTTTTTGCTTCTCTCTAGAGTTTTTCTTTTTTAACCGGGCTAGAATTTTCAAAAATTATACATGGATATTTCAACAATTATACATGTCAAATAAATAGTGTCCTATTTTCTACAAAAAAAGTAAATAATTATCATCTTAAATACATCACCATAAAAGGAATTAAGCCTCAACTATGCACATTACATTTCAGTACCTAAATTTAATAGATCTTTAGATTTATAACCTATTTTTTTTGCATATAAGTCCTCAAAATATTATGGAACATTATATTTTAGTACCTAAAATTTGTGTATTATATTTTAGCACCTAAACTTTTGCAATTCTACGAATAGGTCTAATTTTGGTATGTGTAATTAAGACACCATCGAATAAATGGGTATCCACATCCAACTGATACACATTTAAATTAGTAAAGTAAATATCCATACACTACCCAAACCAATCTACAAACTTTCAAACCCGTATACATCACCCATACTCTACACGTAATCAATGGGTCTAAATATATATGGTTATTACTTATTAAAAAGTCTTCAATTTCCACTCTGGGATTTGAATGAGTGAAATTTTAACCGAGTTCCAGTTTGTATTTTTTTTGCTTCTCTCTAGAGTTTTTCTTTTTCAACCAGGCTAGAATTTTCAAAAATTATACATGGAATTTCCAACAATTATACATGTCAAATAAATAGTTTCCTATTTTCTAAAAAAAAAGTAAATAATTATCATCTTAAATACATCACCATAAAAGGAATTTAGCCTCAACTATGCACATTACATTTCGGTACCTAAATTTAATAGATCTTTAGATTTATGACCTATTTTTTTGCATATAAGTCCTCAAAATATTATGGAACATTACATTTTAGTACCTAAAATTTATGTATTACATTTTAGCACCTAAACTTTTGCAATTCTACGAATAGGTCTAATTTTGGTATGTGTAATTAAGACACCATCGAATAAATGGGTATCCACACCCAACTGATACACATTTAAATTAGTAAAGTAAATATCCATACACTACCCAAACCAATCTACAAACTTCCAAACCCATATACGTCACCCATACCCTACTCATAATCAATGGGTCTAAATCTATATGGTTATTACTTATTAAAAAGTCTTCATTTTCCACTATGGGATTTGAATGAGTGAAATTTTAACCGAATTCTAGTTTGTATTTTTTTTTCTTCTATCTAGAGTTTTTCTTTTTCAACCGGGCTAGAATTTTCAAAAATTATACATGGAATTTTCAACAACTATACATGTCAAATAAATAGTTTCCTATTTTCTACAAAAAAAGTAAATAATTATCATCTTAAATATATCACCATAAAAGGAATTAAGCCTCAACTATGCACATTACATTTCAGTACCTAAATTTAATATATCTTTAGATTTATAAACTTTTTTTTTTTGCATATAAGTCCTCAAAATATTATGGAACATTACATTTTAGTACCTAAAATTTGTGTGTTACATTTTAGCACCTAAACTTTTGCAATTCTACGAATAGGTCTAATTTTGGTATGTGTAATTAAGACACCATCGAATAAATGGGTATCCACACCCAACTGATACACATTTAAATTAGTAAAGTAAATATCCATACACTATCCAAACCAATCTACACACTTCCAAACCCATATACGTCACCCATACCCTATTCATAATCAATGGATCTACTTGGGTTTACGTTAATATCATTTATTAGCCAAAATTTTAAAAAGCAATTAAATTGAATGTTGACCGTCATATATCTCTTCTCACTCAATATCATATTGTCAAGTCAATATTACTAAAAACTACTAACAAAAAGTTAATTTAGGCTAATAATACTAACAAAACACCATAACCGACCACATAATTCATGCCGGCAGGTCATCTCCGTCCCGCGACGAGATGCGGCATCACCACCTAGTTATATATATATATATATATATGGTGAATACTGGTGTACGTCAGGCGTATAGTATACGTCAGGTGATCTAGCCGTTAGATGTAGTTAGATGAGCTCCGGCCGATCTCAACAGTCAATTTTTGTTTTTCATTTAATCAAAGTTCGGATTAGGGTTTAGAAAATGGGTGCCTGGGGTTTATCCATTAGAGGTTAGGGTATAGTATCATACCCCAAACTCGATTTAATTCATGGTCTAGATAGTGATATCTCACTAGTAGTACCTAACGTATAGTATACGCCTGACATACGCCAGTCTGACCCATATATGGTGACCCATATATATATATATATATATATATATATATATATATATATATATATATATATGTATACTTGGGTCAGACGGCTAGATCACCTGACGTATGCTATACGCCTGACGTACACCAGTCATCACCACCATATATATATATATATAAACATAAATACCCGTTACTGGCAGCCTAGTTATTCTGCTAACTTGAAAATTCGTTAGTATATACTAACTAATATCCAAAATGTATGAACTAATATCCAAATATACTGAGTATCTAGATAGCACAGCCTAGTATTCAAAATATCATAAACTAGTATCCAAATAGTAGATACCAACTAATATCCATAATCAACCAACTAGTATTCAATATGGATACTTTTATGTGTTATCTGGATACTCTTATGTGTTATTTGAATACTAATTATGTGTTGTATGGATACTATTCTGTGTTGTCTAGATATTAGTTTGTGAATTTGGGATAATAGTTGATTCATGGTAGATATCAGTTAGCAAACTTTGAATACTAGTATATGCTCTCTAGATACTTTAATACTTGGATACTAATTCATATATTTTAGATATCAGTTAGTATCTGCTAACGAATTTTCAAGTTAGCAGATTAACTTTAGTGCGTTACTGGTGCCTAAGAACTCGGCTCTGGTGTGGTTGTTTCTATCTTTATTTTTTGCACTCATCATCTGGGTCGTACTTTTTTTTTGCTTGGATTAGGTGTGGTTGTTCCTACTTTAATTTTGTGCAATCACAATCTAGGTTTTCCATTTTTTACTTCATCATTTTATTGGTAACATTATCTTAAATATGTGTACTCATATTATCTATGACATCCATTTGTTTGTAAAAAAATGTCCTTCTCAGGCTTTTATTGCGTATATTTTCTTGAATTGCTTCTCAAATCATAAATGTTGACAATCTTGAAGAATTCTAACATTGTTATATTTATTTAATAATCATAATGAATTCAAAACGATGAGGGTTTATTTTCACAATTGACAAAATTAGTCGATCTTCTCCCCATGCACTTCCTCCTCTTCCTTGAAATCCCATGTCTAGGTTATTGTTTTCATGCATTCTCCAAAGCGCTTCTCCATTTGAGAATGACGATAGGTTCGAATCTAAATAAATTATTTTCTCTAAACTAGCATTGCTCGCCTGTCTATATTTTCCTTGACCATAAAACTAGATGCGCCATTTTTCCTAAATTTATGTGGTTTGTCAACCAATAAATTCATCCAATTACATATAATCCAAACGTTCATACACAACAAATTAATTAATGAATATGTAGATAGTGAGATAACTCAACCACAAGATCGCGGCATGACGCGACATTCACTTTCTAGTGAATTAAAAAAAACACACTCACAAAATGAATTGAATTATACCCTTTGGTACATAAACACAATTGCTTTTTTGCTAGAGTTAAGACTAAGAACGGTACATGTCAAATTTAAACTTGACTTCGTAAGGTACAAATACAAAAACAAGTTATGGTACAAATTTGTAGAGTACTTGATATGTGACATCTCCCGTTAAATATTGTAGAAATTCAATCCATTGAGCTAAGATATAGGTACAATTTCAATTTGTACTAATCTTGATCGAACTTGGACTAGAATGATACATTAACAAATTTACTCTTCTAGTAATGGTGTATGTCAAATTTGAACTTGATTCAATCTAAGGTACATACAAGCAAACAACAAGTTAGGATACAAATGCAATTTGTATAATATTACTTGCTATACGTGATATTTTCTGTAAAGAATGATAGGTGTAACACTTCACCCTATTCATCAAGGGTTGAACCAAGGTTTCACTCGTGTAGCGGACTCACTCGAGGATTAAGTTTTACAAAACTTCACTGGGTTCCAACCATAGGGTTAGGATATGTTTAAAACACAACTCAATACGAATCCCTTATCAAAAGTTTCACATTTTTCCACTAGTCACTTACTCAATTCGTTGATCAATCTTCCTCAAATCCAAAATCTACAAAATTCATACTACTAGTACGTTTAATTAATTTAAATTCAACTCAAGGGTCATACTCGACCAAGACCAACTATCACGCATTAACAAAACTAAAACCATAAGATAAGAATTTAGGAATACCTCAATATATAAAACCTTCAAAACCAAATTCCTCCATCGATTGGTGTAAGTGCCAAAGTCGTTCCCAATTTATCACACCTGTCATAACTGAAAACACGCCCAGTCAACTATTGAGCTGATATGTGGCAATATTACACATACACAGTGAATTCCACAAAATGCACAAATAAATAAATTTAGGCAAAGTACATTTATGTAGCCATAATTTTCTTGTTTGGGATAATAATAACCTTATATTAGAAATATATACAATATTGCAAGAAATTTGGATGATTGTATGACAAATCTAGCCATTTCCGTTACAAAATTTATCGATGTGAAGAGGTTCTATCTGTTAGGTTAACATTATGCTGACTAAGATACTTCCTCGACGCACATGTCAGAAAACTCTGAAGACAATTCTAAGGGAATGATTTTTTATTCGCCTATTCTCCGATGATTTGCATTTAGGTATCATAATAAAACAAGTGCATACTACATTGTAATTTTATAATAATCCATTAACCAATTCACACCTCACTAATCAGTAGATTTGCATTTAGATTGAGTGGATATGCAATGAATTGATTGAATAACATCATCGAGACGGCCTTTCATATGCATACCGCGGTGAGTGAGATGAAGTGAAGTTTTTTTTCTTCTGTTTTCATGTTGCACTTGTATGTCGCCATTCGTTCTTCATTTTCATTTCTTCCAAAATGATAATGCTTCTTTCTCTCTTATATATTATGGAAAAAACATGAAGATCAAAGTTGAGTCGTTGGGAAAAGTCCAAATTGTGTACTTTTATTCTATGTATATATGCTGATAAATTATTCGCAGGATAATTGAATTATAAATGACAACAAGATTATTAGGTATTATAAGAAGATCTCCAATTTAGTAATTGCTAAAGCTTAGTTAGTGTCCATGTGCCAAATGTTAGAGCAGTTGGGTCAATGTAGAGCTCATTGCTAAATTATCAATTCTTCTTGCAATGTTATATAAGTAATTGGTTTGATGATATGGTTGTAGGTAGGGGTGGATGTTTGGTTTGCGGATTGTGGGTAATCTGCAAACCGAACAAAACCAATAAAGCATATGGGTATTTAGCTTGCAATCACCAATAAAACATATTGAGATTTAGCTTATTATCTTTCGGGGAATTTGAACTACGGTGCGGGTGGTGGGTAACATAATTGTATATATTTGTGGGTGTGTCCAACCGCAAAATGTGGGGTGGGTAAACACACCCACCCTAATTTCCACCCCTAATAGTAGGGATCACGTTTAAAAATTGCTAATTATTTTTAGGAATATATATGGTCTAAGTGCAATTGTTACTCAGGTGATCCGCTCCGGTTGATACTACATGACTTTTTCACCCATGGTTTCGGCCCATAACTATCCGGGCCCAAATCCAATCCTCATTTGTCCCGATTCGACCATCATCTGATCATCATCAACGATTCACCGTTATCGGCTCATCGCCCAGCCAGCAGTCTTCCCGAGTGACACGACATGACTCATCCCCGGCTCCGGTCGGCTCCGATTCTACCAATGGCGGCAGCGGGAAAGTATTTTTTAACTGTTACAAATTGCCGGAACGCGACAAACCCACAGCGGGAGATCAATCATCCCTCTCTGGGGAATTATTAAGCCCCTAAAGAAACCTCAGCTTTTCTTTAATCCTTCTTCAAAAATGTCGCTTTCAGCAGCCCTCGTCATCGTCTTCATCAGACCTCCCACCATTTCCTCCCAGTCAACGGTCCATCCCTAAACGGTTTACCATAACCCCCTACTCTCAATTTCTTCTTTCTCTTCCTCCAAGTCCATCTCTCCCCCCTTCTTCGCGCGCCATCTCGAAGCTGCTTCGATCTCTTTCAGGAGTTCCTCCCATCTGGGTTTTGGGGGGGTTTATGGTAAACCCCTAGTCGATGGTGGCAAGAATAGGCCCCAAAAGTTCTGATTTGCTGATGAATCCGAATCTGGGTCTGGGTTTCTTCGTCTTGCTGTCGTTTCTCAGCAGCTCCCTCGTCAATTCCCAATGTAGCCGAGGCTGCGGTTTGGCGTTGGCTTCCTACTACGTCTGGGAAGGCACTAATTTGACATATATCCTCCAGCTGATGAACTCCAACATTCTTCGGGACTCCGACTTCGACACCCTTCTGAGCTACAACAGGCAGATACCAAACAAAGACAGCGTTCAACAGGACACAAGGATTAACGTCCCTTTCCCTTGCGAATGCATCAATGGGCAGCTCCTGGGCCACGTTTTCCTTTACCCCACGGTCACCGGGGACACTTACGACCTGATCGCCGGCAGGAATTATGCGAATTTGACCACCGTTGACTGGCTCCGGAGGTTCAATTCCTACCCTCTCAACAACATCCCTGATAGGAATGCGGTGGTGAATGTCACGGTGAATTGCTCGTGCGGGGACAGCTCGATTTCGAGGGGTTATGGGCTATTTGTTACTTACCCGCTTCGTCAGGGGGATAATCTGGAATCGATTGCCCGGGGAAGTAATGTCTCGGCGGAGTTACTGCAGCAGTACAATGCTGGTGTGGATTTCAGTAGCGGGAGGGGTTTGGTCTATGTTCCAGGCAGAGGTGATTTTGTCCATCTTCTTAAGGTTAATGTGCTAATATGGGTTAGCTAGTGTGATGAAGTTAGGCAGTCAATGCTAAATGAACCCAGGATTCGAGTGATTGTTTGTTATGTAGAATCTGTGAGATTGTGTATGCTTTTCTGATCATGAATAGAGCAAAATGTGGAAGTAGCTTAGTTGGAAGTTTACTCAAACTACTTCAACCAACGTTTGGTTGAATGGATTCAATCATATTGGATAGGATCATGAATATTCCTTTGAGAAGTTTGAAAGGTCGTCTTCTGAATGCGATTTGTTTCTTTGTTCTGTTTTGCGGTGAATCAATTAAATGTAAGAATCTATAGTATTTAGTTTTAGGGTATATAGGCATTCACAGACTGGACTTCATTGAATGTACATGTAAATTGATTACCTCAGCAGAATTGGATCTCAGGTGCCGGTGTTTGAGTTTCAAAGGTTTCTTAAGTTCGAGAAGAGGAAGGTTCATGCAATAGTATGAGCTTTAGCTTCTATGTATTTCTCCATGGATTTGCCTAACCAAAGCGTTTCTTTGTCTGGCAGATGCAAGCAATAGTTACCGGCCCTTGAATTCAAGGTAACTTTTGGTTCCTTCTATCCTTGTACAGTACTCTTTTAATTTATTTGTTCTATTGGAAGTGTACGGAGGCCTCATTAAACTGTATGGCATTAATATCTGCTGTTCTTCATTTTGCAGCTCTTCAGGTGGTTCGTACATCTCTGCTTGCTGGTTTGCAAAGCTACAATAGGCTTCATTCATCTTTGAGCTTACTTAAGGTTTCATATAAACAGGCATATCTGGGGGATTCATAGCCGGCATATCAATAGCAGCAGTAGCTGTGGTGTTATTGTTGGCTGTTTTTGTATATGTGAAGTTCTACAGGAAGAAGAAGGTGGCGGGGACAGTACAGTTGCCTGCTTTATCACTAGGCTACTCTGCTCAAGGCAAGCGTGCACTTTTAGTTTTCAAAGTCCTATGTACATTCTTTCTTATTTATATGATTTACCAAAGGGGGTAAATGCTTCTAAAACTATTGACCTTTTATCTATATCCAATCTTATGCAGGTACAGGAACTCATTCAGATAAGCCACTTGAATCACCGGGCGGGGCAGCATCTGGAGGACTTACCGGCATTACTGTGGACAAATCAGTGGAATTCTCATATGAAGAACTAGCTAAGGCGACCGATGACTTCAGTTTAGCCAATAAGATCGGTGCAGGTGGCTTTGGAGCTGTTTACTATGCAGAATTAAGGGGCGAGGTTTGTAGCTTTTCTGAATTATCTGGAGCAGTTATTATTGAACCCAGGTTTGTAGCTAGAGTTTTATAAGCTCTGCTAACCTACAAGCTCTGAACCTGTCATCCTGTTTCCTTTGAATGAAAAATGGAGCCCAGTATTGTCTAATGTCATATCTTAAATATGTATCTCTGGACTCTGATTAAGACTTCTGGCATAAAATGCTCTGTAAGTTTCAATGCAAATGATCTTCTGCCTCATGGACATTCATCTCTCACTCTATGATGTAGAGAGCTGCAATCAAGAAGATGGACATGCAAGCATCAAAGGAATTTTTTGCTGAGCTCAAGGTTTTAACACATGTTCATCACCTGAACCTGGTAAATCTCTCTCTTTCAATTACATGGATCTTAGTTTCAAATGATTCAGCTTTTCCATATATAACTTAGTGACTTGTTGAGCTTGAATATTAGTTCTGTCAGTGACGGGTGTGTGCAGCCCATGTTGAATATTAGTCCCGTCAGTGATTTCCAGCCATGAGTCAGCCATCGACTGTTGAACCTCTGGGAATTTTCTTGATGATAGAGAAATTTAAGTGCTCATACACAATCATGAATCTGATGTTGTGTGGGCCTCATTATCAGTTTTTGCCCCTTCCATTTATTAGTATTTTTTAAGTATTCTATCACCAGCTTAGCGTGTGATTTTATAAACTTCAATTTTAGGTCCGTCTGATTGGATACTGTGTGGAGGGATCTCTTTTCCTGGTATATGAGTTCATAGAGAACGGAAACTTGTCTCAACATTTGCGTGGCACTGGTGAGTCAGTAGAATACAGTGTAGGAACATTGTCTTCTATAGTTCATTTTTTTTGGGTGAAATTTATGGAAGTGACGATGCTGTGTTGCTTATTTTGCAGAGAGGGAGCCATTAACATGGCCTGGCAGAGTGCAAATTGCACTCAATTCTGCTAGAGGCCTTGAGTATATCCATGAACATACTGTTCCTGTCTACATTCACCGTGACATCAAGTCTGCAAATATATTGATCGACAAGAACTACAGAGCAAAGGTTTGCATTGTTCACATCTGTTTTTGCTGACTGCCCCATGTCAATGACCTTTCTTGTGCTGAATATTGTGTGTTGATATGCAGGTAGCCGATTTTGGATTGACAAAACTTACTGAGGTCGGAAGTAACTCGCTCCCCACACGTCTTGTTGGTACATTCGGATACATGCCTCCAGAGTAAGTTCTGGGTAGAGACTCAAAACTAATCCTATCTTTAGGAAGCATACTATAAACATACCTAGAAGCATTCTGATTTCTGAATAACTAATGTGGTTGCGAATGCCCTTCTTCTCTTCCTTATGCAGATATGCTCAATATGGTGATGTTTCCCCAAAAGTGGATGTATATGCATTCGGAGTTGTACTATATGAGCTTATTTCGGCCAAGGACGCCATTGTCAAGCCCAGTGGATCCATTACAGAATCTAGAGGACTTGTGGCATTGGTTAGTTTGCCATCTCTCTTATCGTTAAATTTGTGTCTCCTTTCGATTCAACGAATAGCAGGTCAATTGAAGAAGTTGCGAACTAGACCAAATAGTACAAGTCGGGAGTGTGTTAAAAAAAGTTATTGTGAAGTAAATTGTTGTCACAATGACTAAATAACCCCACAAAATTCGGATTTTCGTATGAGAGTAGGACAGAATTGGGTAGAATTGGAAAAGTTGAAAGGATGAAGCAAACAACATCACCGTAGAATTAAACGATTAGACGATAGAAGTCGTTTGCTTGTGTATTTGATGGATCATCTGAAGGCACAAACTGGTGTCAACATATTGAAATCAGTTATACAAGTCCCAGAACTTGAACTGGCTATTAGAGCTGAAAGTTTTGGTTCTTATTGATTTTTTGTGGAGATCTTATTCTGTGGGGTTGCCTGCTTGTTTTAATCTGTGGAACAGTTTGAGGATGTCCTAGACCACCCTGATCCAGAAGAAGATATCCGAAAGCTGGTCGATCCAAGGCTGGGAGATAACTATCCACTTGATTCAGTTCGAAAGGTAAAATGAAGCAGCAAGCACGGTCTGGGGACACCTCATGTTGTATAAATATTTACACCAATAAACTAATGTTCCACTCTTTTGGTGGATGCTTACATTACAGATGGCCCAGCTTGCCAAGGCTTGCACACAAGAGAACCCTCAACTGCGTCCGAGCATGAGATCCATCGTTGTAGCTCTAATGACACTCTCATCCTCGACAGAAGATTGGGACGTCGGCTCCTTCTACGATAACCAAGCTCTTGTGAATCTGATGTCCGGAAGATAGGAACAGGGAGGAGAGAGACTATCTCTTCTCTTCTCGAATCGTGTGAATAGTACGAGATATTACCAGGGGTTTCTCTCAGAGCATAGTCGTATACCTCCCATCTTTGTTGGTTTTTCTCTGTAAATGATGTCATTGTGTAGCAGCAGCAGCTGAAGCGAATTCACAGGGGGGCGCGGGAAAAAACTCAAAGTCTCTCCAGAATTTGTAGCAGCAAAGATTGTTTCTATTTTTGAATGGATCTGGTCCAAGATAGGTCAGTAACCACCAGGGCTGCTAACCGGTAATCCGGTTAACGTGTTAACCGATAACCGCGGTTATCGGTTAACCCGTTAACCGAATCAAACGGTAAACGGATGGACTTTTTGGGGGAACGGTTTACCGAGATCGGATAGGCAAAATACCGTCGGGAGAGCGGTATTCCGATACCGATTTGGACTAAGGAATCGCCAAACCCAATTACCCAAACGTCGGCATTCAGGCTTCAGCAACTCATCAAAAGTCCAAAGCCAAACCGAAGCCCTACCTAAGCAATTAACCTTAGACTTTGCAGAGTGCTTCCCTACGCCCCTACCCTGCTGCACGAGAAGTCGAGAACGACTGTACAATCGTCTAGTCGTCTCCGTCGCCGGCAACAAGCTGTCAAGCTTCATCCAAGAGTGACAGACACGACACAGTCCAGCAGGCAGCAGCCGTCATCCTCACCGCCAGGCTCTGTTTCCGGCAAGTCCTTCCGCCGTTGCCCTGTTTCCGTTGAACCCCGTCGTCGTCGATCGAAACCGGTAGGCCTCTCCATCTTCGTCGTCCTCGTCGCTGGCGCAAGCTCCGGCCAAGAGACACGACCCAGGCACCCAGCAGCTCGCCCTTCGTCGTTGTCCCTGTTTGCGTCGAACCTCGTCGCTGTCTGAGGTTAAACACTCGATTGCACAGCCCAGCAGCTCCCCCTCTCCGACTCTCCGTCGATTTGAAAGGTAATTGGCGTAGCCGAGTACGTATTCAATTATTTTAGTTTGATAATGTATTTGGATTTTCGCCATTACCATTTACCATGGTCCATTGATTTGTGCTTTGTGAATTGTGACTTTGTCGACTGTCGTAGTCTCTTGTAGTTGTATGTAGGTGAAGCAGAGAAGCATGGGTCCATGGTTTTTGTAACTTTGTGAATTGTGACTTTGCCGAGTAGAGTTTTGTTGATTTGTACTTTTGTAGTTTCGTAGTCTCTTGTAGTTGTATGTAGTTGTAACTTTGTAATTTGTAATTTTGTAGTTTTGTTGATTTTTTAGGCTTGCTTGCAGGTGAAGGCGTGAATCAGAAGGCAGAAGCAAAACAATATATAATAAAGTGAAAAAACAAGGGGTGTACAGTCGATCCCACAAAGTCAAGGGGTGGTTTTTGGTTTTTTGTTACTTGAGAAACAAACTAACAAAGTGAAAAATGTAAGATAGTTATTTAATGGTTTATGGTTGGGTGATTTTTGTTTTTTGACATGTCGGCAATGGCATTTTAATGATTTTTATTTTTTTATGTTTTTTTACTTTTTGTTATAGGACAAAACCTTCTCGTCCTCGTAAAAGAGATGGTCCGAAAAAAAGTGGTTCAGTTCCTCCTCGAACCACTTCCAAAAAATTGGGTACTCGTGTTGGAGTTGCAGAAGGGAATCAAGGGAATGTCTCATCTAGTACACCTACACCTACTACCACAGGCATTGAATCTGCACCTGCTACTGCTACTGCAACACCTGCAGTTGCTACGCCAGCGGATGGAGTTGGTGAGCCCAAGAAAAATGTCAAGGGACCGGGAAGGAAGAAGAGATCCCCGTGGTGGGATTATTATGATGATGCTCTGGTGGATGACTACCCATATGGTAAATGCAAACAGTGTGAAACTTTGATAAAAGCTCACTCAATCAATAACGGGACTACTGGTTTGAAAAACCATCACTTGTCATGCGAGAGAAAGAGGAAGGCAGCCAGTGGTCAATCACTATTGAATTATCAGCCTGGTGATGGTGAGGTAGGCTCTCTTACTCCATGGAAGTTTGATCAACAAAAAGCTAGAACTGCATTAGCTGTAATGATCATCTTGGATGAGCTGCCATTTCGTTTTGTTGAGCATGAAGGGTTTAAGAGATTTATGGCGGTAACCCAACCATTGTTTGTGATACCTGGAAGACAGACAATAAGGCAGGATTGTTATATAATCTTTTTGGAGAAAAAAGAGTTGTTATCTGAGTTCTTCAAATCCAAGTGCAAAGGAAGAATTTCTATCACCACAGATACATGGACTTCTGATAACAACCAGAACTTCATGTGTGTAACTGCTCATTTCATTGGGAGTGACTGGAAGCTGCAGAAGAGGATCATTAGCTTTGTTCCCATCACTAGTCACAGTGGGAAGGATATTGCAGAAAAATTGGCAGAATGTCTACAAGATTGGAAAGCACAACATTTGTTCTCCATTACCATGGATAATGCTTCTTCTAATGATGTTCTTATAGAGTGTATGAGAACAAAGATGAAAGAGTGGGGAACAGATTTGCTTGGTGGGAAGTATTTGCAATTTCGATGTGTGGCACATATAATCAATTTGGTTGTGTCAGATGGGTTGAAGGAGGTTGGAGTTGCTATAGAAAGGGTTCGAGATTGTGTGAAATGGGTGAAGTCATCACCAGGTAGAAGTGCAAAGTTCAAATCTGCCATTGAATATCTACAAATGGATGGAAGAAGACTTGTATCTTTGGATGTTCCAACTAGGTGGAACTCAACTTATTTGATGTTGGAATCTGCTGAAAGGTTTGAGCTTGTTTTTAACTTCTTGCATGCGAGCCCCAATGATTCTGCTTTTCGGGATTATGTGGACTCAAAGAGAGGTCCTCCAACTAAGGAAGATTGGAGCAGTATTCGGCGGCTAATGAAGTATTTGAAGTTCTTTTATGAGCTCACCTTACGGGTATCGGGTATGTGAACAGAACTCCACCTATTCAAATTCATGGTTTTTACTTTTATTAACTTGTAATATGTGAATAATTTGTTGTTATTTTTTGATGTATTAGGAACATCTTATGTGACCGCTCATACTTTCTTCAAAGCTATTGCCGACATCTATGAAGTGATAGAACTTTTTAAGAAAGACATAGATGTAGAGATACAGCGGATGGCAGAAAGAATGGAGGCAAAGGTACGAAAGTATTGGTTTGAGAATGATGATGATGATGAGGTGGAGAACCTAAGGATAAATAGACTGGTTTACATGGCTTGTGTGCTAGATCCTAGGCGTAAATTGGCTTATTTGTCTTGGATGTGGGGTAAGATGTATGGGAAGAAGAAAGGAGATGATTTGGTGAAAGATGTGACTGCAGAGATGACTGCAATGTTTGAGGTTTACAGATTGAAGTATGCACCTCAACCCTCCGAGCCTACTGTTGAGGCCATTCCTAGTGTTGATGATGGATCTGCATCTTATGGAGGGACATTTGATGCTGAATTCAAGAAGATGAGAAAGGAGAACCTTCAGATGGGGATTCGAGGTTTTTCTGAGCTAGACATCTACTTAAGAGATGCTAATGATGCTATTAACGAGGATGATAATGATATGAAGTTTGACATCTTGCTGTGGTGGAGTAAGAACGGCGTTAGATATCCTATTCTTTCCCAGATGGTTAAGGATATCCTAGCTGTTCCAGTCTCCTCTGTTGCCTCAGAGGCCGCTTTCAGTTGTGGAGGTCGAGTGCTCAGCCCGTTTAGGTCTTCGTTGAGCCCCATCATTGTAGAGGCTTTGATTTGTGCTGAAGATTGGATAAGGTTTGAAGGAGGGAAGAAAGCAGAAAAAGTTGATGATAAAGAAGATCAAAATCAAAACCAAATCGATTATGAAAGTGGTAAGAAATAGGAATTCTTAATTTAATTTAATTTTAAGTCTTCCTTTACTCATTTTCCAATAATATATTATAAGATGAATTCTAACAATTTGTATTTTTTATTATACTTAGTCACTACTAACTTCCAAGCTCGGATGGAAAGTGCTACTAAAGGTGACAAACAAGGTTTACCTGTTGTGCTGGAGGAGGAGGAGGAAGAGGAGGAGGAGGAAGATTCAGACGAGGACGAGGAGGACCAAGATGACGAGGATAATGGTGATGATACCCTTCGCACCACTTTGAAGCAACAAGGTTTTGTTGATGTTGGTGGTAGCGGACAAGGAGGAATTGGTGGCAAGTGAGGATCTAGTGATTCTATTTTTTATCGTCATTTTTTAGAACTTAATTCAAACATTTAGAAGCAGCAGGCCAGGCTACTCCCTTTGGAATTATAAATTTATAGCTACGTTACGTAGATGTAGTACTAGACTACTAGTACTTACTACTATAATGCTATTTTTTATTTTCAGTTTTTGGTATTTGCTCTTTGGAATTCACTTGTTTGATTTCTGTTTTTTTTTCATTAGCCGACCAGACAATTTGAAATTCAGAATTGATGTGATTTGTCTCTTTAATCTTTATTCATTACTTATTTACTTAGTTATTTGTCTAATTGTCTCATTGTAAATTTGTAATTATTCATTTATTTGTTTCATGCTAATGGAATAATTGTTTCATTTGTTTGTTGATTTTTTCCACTTTCCGCTGATCCGAATGGGAATGGCCACACAAGAGTGAAGACAAGACACAACCCTGGCCCCTGGGTGGCTGCGTGCCTGCGTCCCCTGCCTGCCAGCTGTCACAAATTTGGTTTTGCCTGTTTCTCTTACACTACGTTTTTTTAGAGCGGAAAACAGGGGGAAGGAAAGAATAGGAAGGAAAGTGCAATTTTCGATAAACTTTCCCCTGTTTTCGAATGTGAGCACAGTAATCGGGTGAAGGAAAAGGGGGGAAAATTTCACAGTGGAACCCTCTCCCCCAAATCGGAGAGAAAACGCTCCACTAACTCTTTCTCTTTCATTTTTTTATTTGCCAGATTAATTAATCGTTCACTTTCCCTTTTTTTATCTGCTACCCCTCTCCTCTCTCCTTGCTTTTTCTTCTTCTTCGTTCTCCCCAAATGCGAACCCAAACTAGAAATAGAGATAGAAAAACATAAGGTAATTATACATTACGTAACCATATAACTAATATCATTACGTAATTAGTTATCTCAATAATAACATAAGGTAATTATACATTATGATAATACGTTATCTCAATAATATCATCACCATTACTAAAAACAATCTTATATAACTATATTATAAATGATGTTATTAAGTAGGGGAGTCAATTGAACTTGGGCACAAGTGCGGTCTGCATATATTTATGTACGCTTAAGTTTAGATCTTATGTTGACGAATCAATAAAATAGTGAACAAAATTTTAGTAATGGATTGACAAGTTTTTTCAAGCGATCTATTTTAGATTTGTAACGATGAACAAATTAGCAAGTAATAACAAATTTAATTCATAATCGATTATTAATTGAAATAATAAAATACACAATTATATTATTTTAGTATTACATTACACAATAAAATAACATACTTATCATATTTCTCAATATACTTTTTTTCATCTCAATTTTCCTTTTTCTTTACATTTACATAACCAATAAAATAACATATTCATCACACTTCTCAATACACACTTTCCTTCCCACTTTCCTCCATAAAACAACATTTTCCTTTCAATTTCCTTCACCTCCAAATCTCCCCTCCCCTCCTAATTTTCCTTCACCTTCCCTCCTTTTCCTCCCTTCCTTCGGAAACATAGTGTAAGTATTGGCAAATGGCAACGCCCAGCTGTCCTTTCCAGTTCCAGATTTCTGACCGAGGGGCAGCACGCAGCAGTGAGCAGACAACAAAAAGTCAGAAATTGTTCGGGAATTCGGGAAACCGTTTCCCTAACCGAGACCGGCTGCGTTCGGTTGGTGGTATACCGAACCGAATCGGTAACGAGACTCGGCGCATGAATTTGGCCGACCGGTATACATGCTACCGATAAAACGGTAAACGGTTAACACATTAACCGTACCGTTCCCAGCCCTAGTAACCACTGGTTATTGACCTATCAGTAAGCACACGGTAGCCGTAGATCTGGGGATGGAGCAATCGTGTGGCTGGGCCGGATGCGGGGTGGAGAGGGGCATTTTTGTCCGTTTTTGTATTTTTAATTTTTATTTATTTATTTCGCATTTCAATGACTAACTTTTCAATGAAAGAGAGAGAATTGTCTTTTCACTGCAACTCAACTTTCTTCCTTCTCTCTTCCTTTTTCCAATCTCTTTCCAGATCTTTTCTCTTTCTCTATTCTTTCTCTCTTACTTTTTCTCTCACAATCTCCTTTTCAAATCTAGATATGCTCTCTTCCTTCTTCATTTTTTTCTCTAGCAATGGACGATTAAAAATTGTAGCCACTCTATTTCATTGCATTTCTTCTCTTCATCAACTCGTTAGCCTCAATTCCAATCTTTCTCATTTTTTGGCATTTTGGTGTTCTTGATTGAGGAAGAGGAAATGAGAGGCATCAGAAGACGGTTTTTTCTCTCCCTCCTTCTGTTTTTTCCTTTTAGATAATATATATTGATATTATGACTCTATACCATATGGTATTGGGTGGTAACGAAATATATATTGATATTACCACAATATACCCTATGGTAATGTATGGTATTGCGTGGTAACGAAATATATATTGATATTACCATTCTATACCATATGGTATTGTGTGATATTACCACACTATACCATATGGTATTGTGTGATAACGAATATATATTGATATTACCACACTATACCATATGGTATTGGGTAGCAACGAAATATATATTGATATTACCACACTATACCATATGGTATTGGGTGGTAACGAAATATATATTGATATTACCACACTATACCCTATGGTAATGTATGATATTGCGTGGTAATGAAATATATATTAATATTACCACTCTATACCATATGGTATTGTGTGATATTATCACACTATACCATATGGTATTGGGTGGTAACGAAATATATATTGATATTACCACACTATACCATATGGTATTGTGTGGTAACGAAATATATATTGATATTACCATACCATGTGGTATGGTCTTATTTAATACCAGTAAATACCATATGGTATAGACTGGTAATAACTGGAAAAATTTTTTATGTCCAAAAAATATCAAAGTGGATATCATTTTGAAGAGCACAATTAATCTGATCTAACTGTGCAAAAACAAATTAAATTCCGACTTAAAACGAGTGAGAAATCGTCCGTTAAAGATTAAGAGAAGAAAAATTAAAGATTTTTCGAGGAGAGAGAAGGAGGCGCTGATGTGGTCTGGTCAAAAGTCAGCGTCAGCAATAAATAGAAGTAAGTGCAATTTTACCTTCCTGCCCTTCCGCATTTAATTTAAATAAAAAAGGGGTCTGACACGTTGAGATTAGAGAAGCAGTTACTGATGGGTTACTGACCCATCAGTTACTGACATGATCTGCTCCCGATCAACTAGGAAGAGAAAAGATCGTTTCCTTGGATTGAAGCAAGGGGTAATTCAGAGTCAGGGGGACAGGTCTGGGAAAATGGTCCTTCCCTTGATGCGCAGTTCCTTTCTAGGACTTGGAATATGGAAGTGTTTGTCACTATCAAGAAATTGGCTGACGAAGGAAGCTGCTGCGATCCTGCTGTTTCTTGGGCGTCAAGTTTCTGCTGGGGGTTAGTTGATTGGGTTGGTTGGCGTGACAATGTCAATTAAACAGTGGCATGGATAGTACATGATTTCCTCTCGCACCGGCACCATTCAATGAACGTCCCCTGCCGGCTTGCATTCATGGATGAGTCAGACGGCTGACTTTTGATCAATGCTTTTCTTAGTTTTTTTTCCCCTACAAAGGAAATGAGAGTGAAATACTATTGCCTCCTCACATTAAATAAAATTAATCTGGACATAGCCCTTTTGAGAACCGAGAAGGGGTACTACATGCCACAATAATGAATAAATATTGGGAATTGAGAAAAAAAAATGTAGGATTTCTGAATTATCGCCAATAGCTGAAAAATAAGACTACATTATTTATAGGGAGTAGAATTATTTCGCCCAATCCAAACACGGGAGGCAATCAAAAATAAATACCGATTCTTACAATACTAGGCTCCATGCCGTGCCTAATGATCTGAAGTTGAATCAATATCTAGTTCTAGTTGTTTATATAGAAAGAAACCCATGTATAAAAGTCATATCCTTACTGTGGACCAAAATGTGCTTTTGAATTACCAGGAGATTGTTCTAGATTTCTCTAGATGAACCAGATGTCACCCCTGAGATTCTTGGTAGTTTTATTTTTTTGTCTTTACTCAAAGCGGTCATGAACATACAGTAAAAAAGAGAAGCAATCCACCAAAAAGCATGGTTTAAAATGTAAGGTATGAGTTGAAACAATATGTTTATAGGTTTAATTCTCATTGACAAATATTTTAAAGAAAATTATATGGTAAATCACCGTAAAATTGCAAATCTGAATCAATCTCGTCAATGAATTTGTTACATATTCATGACCACTGATATAGTGTTTGAACCTATTTACCTAGAGTCCAGATAATAATAAGAATAAGAATAATAAAACAATTTCTATATTAAAAAGAAAAAGAATATCTTATCAAAGTAGCCGCTGACAGCTGCCTAGCTAGAACAAGAGAGGACGCCAACTCAACTCACTCACTAATTCATCATCGCATAAATAGAATAGGACATAATCAACAACAAGAACAACATCCATCTCCTCCCCCGCCATTAACGTCAGACAAAGGAAGAAGAAGGGAAAAAAACCCTATCCTTAATAAGAGGGTAAAAAGATCTCACCATGGAAGCCCAATTAGAAATAAATCACGCCGACGACAACAAGCCCCTGATCACAAACGATGCGGGAGCCGACCCGCCTGATTGGCCGCCGCTCGAAGAGGTGGAGGAGATTCTTGGGTACAGTTTCGCCGACAAGAGATGGCTGGAGGAGGCGCTGACGCACGTCTCGTTTCGGAGGCAGCAGGAAGAGGCCGCCGCCGCCGCCGCCGGGGTGTCGTACGAGAGGTTGGAATACATGGGGGACTGCGTGCTGAACCTGATCGTGTCGAGGGAGCAGTTCTTCCGGTACCCGGATTTGATGCCCGGCGACCTGACCCGCCTCCGCGCCGCCAATGTCGATACCGAGAAGCTGGCCCGCGCCGCCTTGAATCACGGGCTGCACCGGTATCTGCGCCACCGGAAGCCGCAGCTTGGGGACCAAGTAAGTAAACTCCATTCCAGAAACAAAACCAAAAAGAAATCTAGAAAACAGTAACTCCCCCTAATTCCGCATAAACTACTAATTAATTGCTGCTTTTGACGTTGAATTTGGCTACGCTAGTAGTAGTAGAACTAGATATTATGGGTATGTCATAGTACACTCATATGTGAGTCTTAGATCCATTGTTAGATTTAGTACACCATGTCATCTGGTACGGACCAAATCGTTGCACACTGCTTGCTATATATATTATTTGCCCAATTATCCGAATTATGTAAAAGTTTTCACATTGATTTTTTTTGTTACAACAACTGATTACATGGATAAATATATAAACAAAAGTAGTGTTTTTTAAATAAAAAATTGTCAAACCATATATGAGATTAACGGAAATGTCAGTAATAGATTATTTTTAATGCCTCTAAAACTGTCTATCGATCTAGGATCCGCGATATCCTGTGTGTGTCAGCATAACAATTTCTAAAACATTGCTTTAATTAAACTAATTGAGAGACATCATCAACTATTTATGTATGTAGATTCCGAGGGAACTCTCAATTCGAATATGCTCTAGATGCAGAGTTTGTTGTGTTCCTCATCATTAGTGTCATTGATGTACGGACAACAGATTGAAGCATTTGTGGAGGAGATAGCAGAATATCCGGTCCACTCAAACGGCTTGGTAAACGCCCCCAAGACTCTGGCGGACATTGTTGAATCCTTGATCGGAGCAGTTTTCGTCGACAGCGATTGCTCCGTCGATACCGTCTGGAAGGTAACCAAATTAAATTTAAGCCAACTTTAATACGGCAAGAGATTGTTGACGTGTCTTTGGCTTTGTTAATGATCAGGTGTTCAAGAGATTGTTGGAGCCGATAGTGGAGAAGGACACACTGCGAGTGCATCCGGTGACGGAGCTGTACGAGATGTGCCAGAAGAGGAAGCTGCGGCTGGAATTCAAAGGCTCGTGGAAGCAAGGGATCGATGTGTACGTCAACGATCAGCTGGCCGGGAGAGGGAACTACGAGTCCAAGAAGGAAATTGCCCAAAACAGAGCAGCCAAAGACGCGCTGGATAACCTTGGTAAAATCGTACTGTTGCTGGAGGATGGGGAAGAAGATGATCAGATTATTGATTGATTGATTAAAACAAGACAATTATGGTGGTGGTGACTTTGTCTAATTTGTTGGTTAAAATTAGGTGATGACTTTTCGATTGTATGTGATGCTGCAACTTGTTTGAAAATAGTTTCCATATATAGCCGTCCATAGTTAACGACTTAAACAGACCATAAAAGTCACACTAAAAATCTCATAAAACAAACAACAATATTCGGTGACTATACTGTTAACCAGTTGCCGAAAACTGTTGACCGAACTTCGACAATTATCGATGATCGAATTCCGACGCCGAGGCGATTTGGACCGATTTTGGGTCACTGGAGGCGATTTCCGGCGAGACTCCGGCGAGGCTCCGACGAGCATTTCCGGGCAGATTTCGGGGTTTTCGTCGCTTCCATTGTCTTCCCCTCATCATCCCCTACCCTACACCTCTACTTGTGTCTCCAGGTTTGATTTTGCCCTTTACCTTGTGTTTTGTGGAGAATTGGGTGTTAGGGTGTACTTTTAGAGAACCACTTTGAATTGTGTGAATTGAATGAAATTGATTGAGGGGAAGGCTTGGTTTATGTGTAAGTTGTGTTGGGCAATGTTCTCCTTGCTTGATTAAGCCCTTGTGTGCTATGAATTTGCCAATTATATGCTTACCTTAACCTTGCACACAAGGTGTTCGATGAAATGCCAGTTTTTCATACCAGTTTGTGGGAGCCGGTTGGGGCCCTTAATGATGTGCTTTGATGGTGTATTTGCTACGGAGGTGAACCTTAAGTTGCCTGATTGATTTTGGATGTGCACCCCCACCCAAATAATGCTTGTTTGCTCGAGTTTTTGACCCCCGAACTATGGATGAAACCATGGTTCGGCTGTTTTCTGTTATCAAGTGTGGGGGTGTGATTAACCTTTTCTTTGGCTCTTTTGGCTCCACGATGGTTTGCTCTATTGCAGGATCATGCTGAAACCCGACCTCAATCACCCGTTCATCCGCGACTTGAAGAGGGGGCCCCACAAGGATCGCTTTAAGCGAGTCCTAGCCTGCAAGTTTGGGAAGCATCACTACTGGTCAAGGAGGGAATTTGAGAAGTTGCATTGCTACGACCATTTCCTCGCCATTGCTACAAACTGCGCATGGTGCAGACTTTTGTCCATCCGAGAAAAGGTTCACCACGAGCTGGTGCTCGAGTTCTATACCACATTCCGGCACGAGGATACAACAGACTGGGCGGACGGCGAGGCCGTCAAGTTCAGGCTTGGCGGTGAGCCACACTCATTGAGCTACCACGATTTGGCAGTCGCTCTCGACCTCGACCTCGGCCTTGATGATGACGAGGACTACATCACCGAGCTCGACAGTCCAGCGGGTGTTAATTTCAAGGTGCTGTACACCCGCCTAGCTCAGCCTGGTCAACCTGTTTTCCAAGCAGGCGAACGAAGGCTAGCACCCTGCAGCTGGATAACCGCATTCTTCATCACATGCTGGCGAAGTCGTACACTCCAGCTCAGGACAGTGCCAACACTCTCACCAGGAGGTCCATGTACTTCATCCAGTCGATCAGCACGGCGGACCATCCTCTTCACCTGGGATCTGTGGTGGCCAGGACTTTTGACAAGAGTGCTTCAGAACTGCGGAGCCTACACTGCACTCCCCTCATCACCCGCCTGGCTACCTACTTCCAGATCCCACTGCAGGGTTGCATAGAGCAGGGGGACACTAGTGTCTTCGGCGAAGAAACGATCCAGCACATCCACCTGCTGTGAGTTGAGCGCGGCATCAAGTGGATCGAGGGGTTCCCTGCTCCTCAAATCCCAGCGGAGGGCCAGCCCGATGTTCCTGAGGATGAGGCCGCTGAGGATGCTCACCCCGAGGATGTGGATGATGCTGATGCCCCCCGCCCGACCACCTTCGAGTACGGGGGTAGCAGCTCCACTTTCCCCGGACAGGACTACTTCACTCACCAGTTCCATCTCCGGTTCCAGCAGCAGTACTCGGCTCGCCAGGCCGAGTATAAGACCCGGATGGATGCCTATGATGAGCGTCTTAACCGTATGGAGACCCAGCAGGGAGTGACCCTCGCTCACATCGAGAGGGAGAAGACCCGATCTCGGCGTATGCAGGAGGTCCAGCAACACCTGCTCCAGCTGCTACCGGGGGAGCAGCCAGTCTGGAGGACTCCCTGGGAGGACTCTCCACTTCCCCCGCCACCAGCTGATGATGATGATGCCTTCATGAACAACATCGATTTGGACAACCTTGGCGACGAGTAGTCTGTACTCGTCGCCCCTCAGAGTGTGTTTTTGTTTAAGACTTTTCGTGTTTGCTCCATGTGTGTGCGGATCTTGAACTGAGTCTGTCGTTTGTTTTTGTTTTTTTTTTCTTTCTTTTGTGGATTGTCTATTTTGTGGCCATCTGGGCTAACTCTGATCCCTAACGCAGAGTGTGCTAGAGTTTGTTCTTTATGTTCCCTTCGTGCAGAACTGTTCCGTCGTTCCATATGTTTCCCGCTAACTGGTCCACTTCCAGTCCCCCGGCCGTATTTCCATCCGGTAATATTGTTCCCCTTATCTCTCCCTCTGCTCCATTGAGGGCAATGTCGTGCTTAAGTGTGGGGGGTGCTTTGTATCGGCTGGAATCTATATATGGGTGCTTGGAGCCTAGTCCGCTGTCCATATCTCGAGATTTGAGGGCTCCAAGTATCGCTGTTTGCATGATCATATTGGCACTGTGATTTGAGTGGTGAATCGAATGGCTTCCGAGTTACTGCATGACAGCTTGATTGTGACTAGGACAACCTATGACGTGACTGAGACGTGCAGTAGAATTGTGTAGGGGTTCAATTTTTCAACTGTTTGCTTACCAACTGTGACTTGGATTGATCACTTGCTCTTGATAGTTGTTTATGCATCTAGTTCAGGGAATCAGAATGAGAGATAGAGCATATAGGTAGCCATGTGAGATTTGAGCCTGCTCGTTTCTTTCTTGTGCGATAGTTCCCTCTTCCATGATGTGTAGCATTCACGTTGTCACTAGCTAAGATGATGGAGACATATGATTAGCCCACGACCAAATTGACTGTCCTAGTGTGTCATACCCCCTAGTCAGCCCCTTTGAGCAGTGTACTTTTCTTTCTTTCGGTCTACAATGGAAAATCACCCTTTTGAATCTCTTAGAAGGTTCCACAAAGTGGTTTTTACAGGTTCTCTGCTGTTTCTGCTAAATATAATGTGAGGGTTGGAGGTAGTTCTTAAAAAGTTGGGCATGTGTTTGAAAAATGTGCATAGGTGGTGATTCTCTTAAGAAATGGAAAAAAAAGAAAAAAAAAATGAATGAAAGCAAAAGAGAGCCACCACCACAAATCTGAATAGTGCCCATTAAGTAGTGCTTCTTAGCAGTCTGGCTTGGAATTGCTAACACTTATATGACCTCCTTCGCTCTTGTGCTCTAGAGAATGTGAGTAATGCATAATGGCATAAAGAAAATAAGTGGATTGATTAACTGTGTTTGTGTTGGGTTGGGAAATGTGGAACCTTGTGCTATGAATATTTCCACCACCTAAAAGGCCTTTTCCCCATGTCCAAGACCCTAGCCAGTCATCTGAACCTGTGTCTAAGACCTCCGGAATAGTTAGTGGTGACACCACATATGTGAACTCCAACATTTAGAGGCTGCCTTTATGGTGAAGAGACGTTAGGGATTGAAAGAATAAGCATGCGCATTTTTCGCATCTAATTGTCCTGACCCCACTGGTCGAGAGTGAGCGATTCATTTTCTCATATTCTCTATACTCTTTACCGTGGTGAGGACTTAGATTGCTCGGTCTCAATTCTGATATCTTGAGTTTTGTGCATGCGATGACTGTCTTGGCTATGTGGTTGAGTCGAGTCTATGTTGGTTCATGAACAGAAGGGAGACTCTTCCTTTACCTGATTTTGCTGCACTCGAATGTCTTCTGTGGTGGTTATCCAGGTTACTGTTGAATTTGTCCATGTGTTAATGACCAAAGCCAGTATGATTCACTTGTTTTATGCCGATATGATATGTCCCCAAGGGTTGCATGATTAAGATGTTTTGAGCTTACCTTGTATCTAACTTGGTTTGCTTGGGGACAAGAAAACGATTAAGTGTGGGGGAATTTGATGACTTGATATATACACATGTTTTTGTCCACCATTCTTATACTGTTTGAGTCTTATTTCTCGTGTTTTAGGACGATTTCACGCTAGGTTTGTTTGTGATATTTCAGGTCCTAGTACGTGAATGGAGGTTTGGGAACGAGTTCGGAGTCGATTGGACGTTTGGCGAGAGGCTAAGCAAGCCACACGGGCACGCATGAAATTCCACACGGCCGTGCGACCTGGCCGTGTGGCACCAAATTGCACGGGCAAGTCACACTGGCCGTGTAAGGGACCCCTTGCACTTCCGCACGGGCAGCTGGGGATTTCACACGGCCGTGTGGCCTGGCGGTGTGATCGGGCAGAACTGGGTTTTAACCCAATTTCGAGTCTTTTGAAGGGGAATCGACTTTTTGGAGCAAAAACATAGCCCTAGAGAGAGAAAGTGCGAAGAACACATCCTAGAGGTGATTTTGGAGCTGGGTTTCATCAATCTAGCTTGGAAATCACCCTTGGAGTGAAGATTATCATCCCAGAGCAGATTCTTCCCATTGTTATGAGTATGACTGCTTTGTATTCTATTTCCCTCTCTCTCTCTCTCTCTCTCTCTCTCTCTCTCTCTATGGAGTAGAACTTTCTCTCACTTGGGTATGAAGAACCCTAGTTCCATGTGTTAGGGATCTTGATTGTAATGACTTGGGATTGTTATACTGTTTGGTTTTAATTGAATGATGCATGATTCATTGAATCAATTGAAGTCTGATCATCATTTCTTGATTTCTGCTGCAACCTGAGATAGATAGAATCTGATTAGGTTGTTAGGGCTTCATCATTCGGTAGTGGTAGATTGGTTATACGAGAGTTAATCAATCTATTGCTTTGTACTGGAACCCAATTCCAGTAGTGGAGTTCTGTGCTTATTGACTCAGCAGTCTATCCCGGTGAAGGTTGGTCGCCTGCCGGTTAGCCTGCCTGAGAGGGCTTGGTCAGCTTAAGAGATTCCAAGCTACTGTCGGATCTTTCGCAGTTTAATCAACAGTAAATCAACCCAGGG